AAGATATTGGTGCCCTGTTAAAACGATTCCTTGCTCCATGGAAAAATTGCACACACACATACTTTCATATTTACACATGGTCCAGTCAAGCACAAGCATCATGTGTCTTGTGCTGGGAGAAAACGACCAACACTTTGGTAAAAGAGAAAATAACATAAGTGCAAGATTGTATAGTTGTTCCCTGGTCTGGGAGAAAACATTTGACCTCTAGTTTAGCATTCGGTGGAAAGACAACCTTTGAGGCATATGTTAGCATGAGGGTGAAGAAGGGAAATATGGAGAAAATATGTCTGTTCCTTTTGTCGGGACTTATAGACAGCTGTCTCAGTCATTCAGCACAGGGCTTGAATGGAAAATGTAAACACCACTATCACTCCCAAAAGACAGCAATTACCTCCCTCTTCTTTGGAAATGTGGACCAGTCCAGTTGCCAAACACAGACAAGACAGATGATCTTTTCTACTGTTTTGACAGATTATATCCATGCCACTTTAAAGTGCCCAGGCAGCTGTTGTAGACGTTAGTTACATTGTTTAAAAGTTTTGACACAAGTGAAAACTGAAAGTGTGTCTGTGGTACAATTACTGACATGCATTGATCCGGGACTGTGCAATCACATGATCCGAAGTGCTGACAGCTGACGAGTGTGACAGTAGTTGAAGTTTTGAGATACGCAATCACAACTTAAATAAAATCTCTCCCATGTAACTGGAGGGGAATTTACTGAGAAACTGTCTTCCCATCCACAACCAACAAGAGAACATAACACATTTACACCAATGTTGTTCCTTGTTTTCCTTCAACTTCCGGCATAAGGATCATATGTCTGAGAAGTCTCATAACTTTACTCATATATAATTGTATGAAAAGTACACATATATAAGGCTTCATGCTGCTGCTTGTCTAAGATAAATAGATAGATAATTCTTGATTTGTCAGACACTGTAAATAGTGAACACAATGGGTCTACTGTATTAGGCTGAGAGGGGAAGCTGATTCAGTGTAGAAGGAATAACCTATTAATAAAATCAAAGTCCTGCCATATCTTAGAGCTCCAGTCTGTAATGTTTCTCCAATAGCCATCAATAGTCTGGGTGGATTCTTTTATCTGTGGTTTTATGTTGAGAAAATGATTCCTACAAGATTAAAAGTCTCTCGTTTAATGTCTTTTTCCATCCACTAGGTCATCTTGTGTGACCTGGCTATCAACGGTCTCCAGGCCTTTTCACCTTCATTGCAACTTTTGTCCTCTCTTATCTCCATGACATATGAGGCAGGCATCTCATGTGGCATCATGTCATCCACCCACATCCCCAGCTGAGAGAGACACTAGAGACAACCTGAAGGGAGTCAATTGAGAATGTCACATCTTACCTGATGGTAAATTCTTTGTAGCATCAAAGATTACAAAGCTCTCTTCACCTCATGCACAATAAAAGACACCTGCATGCTTACTTCTGCAGATGCATCTGACCAGCTACCAATCCATATAACTTGCCAACTGTGCCAACTACTTGCTTTTCTAAGCAAAATAACTAAATAAAACAACCAACTAACTAGATTTAAATAAATAAAAGAATAAATCAGTAAGAGGATCTACACTGCATAATTCATTTGAAGAGAACACATCCGTAGACAGAGCAGTTGCACTGTTCTGCTTCCTCTAGGGCTTGCTGGAATTTCATCATCTCTGCACTAGTACAGCTACATGTAATAAGAACAAACACTGTGCAGCACATCTGTCAGATGTACATTTTCCCAAGCGGGACTCAAGGAGTCCCTGACACAGTAGAGGTCCTCAACTGATTAAAGGGGATTTCAAATGCTTTGCATTTGCATTATTTGCATTCTGCAAAATGTATCAAAGAAAATAGTGCATCATTTATCAATCTATGTGTAGAGAAAATCTATCTATTTATAATGATTTTAAAATGGCCCAAATGCATTTAATTGGAACAAATGCCAGTCCATTATGTATGACAACATCACACAGCTTCCATAGAAAAGTAAGGTAATCAACATGACATTTGTCAGTGACTTATATTTAGCAAGGACTTATTTTTCTATACAGGTACATTTATACAGCTAATAAAGCTTAATGTGGTGGATTAAAACTCCAAGACCCACCTTGTAATGGGGGATTTCTTAAGGTGATTATTTATTAATCCACAGAAGCCTACTACTATAGAAGAGATGAACCTATGTCTGCACTGAACCCACTCACAGCCCTTAGCCACCTACCAAAACAGAGAATGCTGGGAAGACTCGGCATGACATTAATAAACCAAGCTTGCCGCTGTGTTTCTGTATATTTTGGCATTAAGTAAGCAGTGTGTAGGTTTTCAGTATTATTTGAAGCATGCAAAATGATGTCATTTGGTACTTTTGCGACGCTTTCTGCCTCCAAATTCCACATCACGTTTGTATGCACACAACTTTATTATATAGTCCCTCATACTTGTAGATGGGTGTCAGGCAGACACTGCATGCTGTATGAGCACACCTAACTCCTGGCTTACAAATGACTACAACAATTCCAAGGTTGTTCCCTTCAGCCTGCATGTCTTTTGCCTCCTCGACCTGTGTGGGACAGGGCCGGTCTACAATGACAACTCAAGGCTTAGCGCATTATTGCAGCGCCTGATGAAAATTTTAGCACACCACAGCGAGAGGGACACATCCTTTTTACTGGTGCTCCCAATCTTTTTTTTTTAATGTGCTGTACCATGCCACTGAATCCCAAAGTCCTACTCTTTGCCTGCCATTCTGTGTCAATGCCATCCATAATAGATAAAACCAAGCCATTCACATTACTATTAATGGCAATGTGTAATGTGGGGGCAATACATTGTCATAAATTCCTAGCCCCCTTACCTCTACCCTGACAAACTAGAACTAGCCATCCATCAAGTTAATAACATAAAATCAAGATTCTGTGAATGTTAGACATGGGGTCACAGGAGAGGTTGGTGACTGCCCTTGATATCATCTCTTGCATATGTTGCTTTAAGCTTCAGAGAAGGATCAGAGCAAATGGCATCATTCCTCTCCCCACTACAATGCCCTTCACATCTCCTTGAAGTAAATCTAAATAGCTTAGAGTGGTCATCTTTTCCTCAAGAATAAATTGAAGTAGACAGTGTGAAGGATGGCCTGGCTTGAATCTAAGGCCTTATGAAAGCTTTCCACTTCCGGCTATCGTATGAAGGTTGTAGAGTGGTCAGTCTATGTCAAGATGTTCTACATCATTTGTAAAGCAGCCATGGCTTTTAGTGAAACCAGTAAGTTGCAAGCATGGACAAGAGTTGCTAATTGGGTGAGAGTCTCTAGCTGTATCAGCTGGCCACTAGCGAGCCCCTGATAATGATACATGTCCACCTTCTTAAAATAGGCTGTCAAACTGCAGAAACACAGGTTGGTCAACAGCCTCGAGGAAACATGTGACTCCTCGAGCTAAGAATAAGCAGAAACCTTAGCACATTAACAGTCAGCCAGTCATCAAAGACAGAGTATTAATAGATCAGAACTGTGTCTTCAGCAACAACAACAGCAGACAGTCTGAAATGACCAGTTCAAAGCCCTATGGCGGTTTTACCTACAAAATCTTCAAAGAAATGACAACTGCAAGAAATATTACGGGTATATAGGAAACCAAGAACCCACAACATCAAACGCAGAGTGACTTTCTATTTCCTCAAAACCAATTATGATTGAAAGATCCATCATCAAACTGTATTCCAGAAGAAAGGTGCACAGCATAATTGATTTCTCTGACACGCCGTCCCTCTTTAAGTCGGGTTAGGTATAAAATAACACCTAACTAATGAGGTAGAGAGACAACAGCATCAAAAAAGCATCTGCACCAGCCTCTGAGCTCACTTTTGTTGACCGCGAATACTTTAGCTGAAAATAGAGTCGGTTACTTCATGCATTGTGGGAAATGATCCATTGAGAAATACAACCGATGATAGGTCATAAATTGTTAATGTTATTGGAACAAGTTTTGAGTTTGAATGTATTCACACACAGAACGGTGGAATTCTTGAGATACTTGTGTCCAGATGTCAGGAGTATTGTGCATCATCTTGGCTCTTGCTTAATCTGAAAAGAACATTTGCCTGACCTACTTATGGGTGCTCTACAGCTCAACCTGCTATATATTTTATATTTTGCTGCAGAGGAGCCAAATGTTTTCCTGCTGTTTTATGACCATTCTCTGTCTGACAAACAGGCATACTCAAGTCGTCAGAACAGCCTATTTTTGATCACGGTGTCACAGGCAAAGGTATTCACACCAAGACAATTAAAAAGGACACTCTCTCCACCTGTCCTTGAAGACTGCCGTTCAGCTGTGATGTCAAGGAACAATAACATTCTTGCTGTGTGGCAATCTTCAGCTAATGCCAGAACACCACACATGGATTGAAAGTACTTAACCTCTGAATAATGGCATTTGTTCCCACAAAAACGGTGAGTTTTTATTTTACAAAGCTTTGAAAAGCAGTTGTCCTGAATTAACAATGTTGCAGTACTATAAACGCATACTTCTGATTTAGACATTACATTACTGACACATGTATTCCTAACCACAGTTATTACAATCAGAGGTGGCAAATAAATAAATGTGGTGTAATGTTTCACTTGATCCAGTCATGGACATTGTCTAAATCCTAAATCAAGCTGGCCTCTTAGGAAACTGAATACAGTCCACCACATTCACCCAGTGAGACTTAACCATGTGTGCTGCCAGTCATACTGTGAGTGTGTGTGACCCCTTGACCATGAAGCCCATTCATTAATTGTCATACAACAAGCCCACGCCTCCCCTTCTCTCTTTGCAGGCCCGGCGCAGTCCCTTTGCAACAGATCGTCTTCGCCTACCCCAAAAAAACAACAACAGCCACTCAGCTGCTGTTTGGCCTTTCCCCAGACCAGGTCCTCTCAGTCAATACACCCACTAGCCAGGCCACACAACTGGTGTACTGCTTCTGTTTACTCACCCTTTTGCCCTCTTTGCCTGGTTCCCCTGGCTGACCTGGCACCCCAGCCATTCCCTGGGGAAAGGACATGTATCATATAGTGAATTGGGTGCTACATTCGTTTGGCATTGCAGGGAGAGATTATGGCTTGCTTCTTGTAAAGACTGATGCAGACAGATGTTTGTGCCACATGTTCTCATGGAACCAGTGGATAACTAGCGGGCTTATTTGCAGTGATAGCAAAGACAGCATTAGCTTGGTTAAAATTGCTTGAATAGATAGAAGTGAGCACGTTCAGCTATAGTTTCCATTCTTAATCATGAACAGTTTCTAGGTGACGCCTCCACAACCCCCTAATAGGCAATTTGCAGCCTCGGTTGATCAGAGATTCATCCCTTTATTCTACACAGAATCTCCGTAAGGAACTATTAGCAAGTTAATCAAGTAATATGCTGTGTCATGATTTTGTTTTGAAGTTCTTGTGCAAGGATATGCTTATGGGTCTTCAATAATCGCTTGTTGATCCTAGTAGTTGTGCTTGATTGCCTGAGTATATATGTGCACTTTATCCAACAAGAAAAACTCTACTTAAATGTGATGATTTATTTGTTACCTTGTCTCCTTTGTCACCGCGAGGGCCCTGAATGTGGCAAATAAAGATTTATGTTTACAAGAAAACAAAAGCACAAACTAAAGAATACAGAATGCTGAGATATTTTCAGAGAAAACAATATTAAATTAATACAAGTACCTGATCTCCTTTGAGACATTCTTTGTCAGCCTAGGAAATAAACAAAAACAAAAACAGTCTGTCAATATGAAAACACAAATCACATGATTCATATATGACATAACGATACATGTTTGCCAGTTATGGGCAAGCGACACAATTGGCAATGAGGTAGTTATCCTGACCCGAAGAGAAGAGTTAGGGCATGAGTATTACAACTCCCCAGTAACCCTGCTGGCCACTGTCAGGAAAGGGCAGACGTATATATGCAGGCGTCTAACCACCAGGCCACAGAATGGACACAAGGCCACATACATCATCTCAGTTTTCAAATACAAGCCAAATAATTGGTGTCCTCTTTCAATTGGCATCCAAAAGTCAAACACTGTTGACTTTTCTTGGAACAGCTGCAGAAATGGACATTCACTCACGACATATGTCTTCCACATTACAGTTTTTCTCACTCACTTTGGTACATTTCTCAAATCATCCCTAACATTTGCAAAACAGTAAATGCATTTCTCCAAAAATATCGAACAAACAGCGCAACACAGCAGATTACCTGCAAAAGCCCATAACTTGCTCAAAATCATCGGTCTCTCAAAAGCAAAATCTCTCAAAAGTACATGTCATTGAAAATGTCAGTGCCATCAAAATGACAAGTCCTTGTGTCATTGTTTACGAACAAGATAGTCAAAATGTTTAGCCATGTTATCAATATAACAGTGTACTCTGTAAGAGTTTTCTAATGTAAACTATGGCTAAGGTTTTGATGACAATATGTCAATATGTCATCTCACTTTATTATATGTTATACATTGCAAGAGACTGGACAGGATTCACAGTTAAATTTTTACTGTCCGTACTATAATTTGTTGACGGACCATGTCATTGTGATACAGAAAAGAAAAAGGAAGGACTGTTTTACAGCACGGCATTGCACAACTGAAGAAATGATAAAATTATAAATGTAAACATGTGAAACACTCCTTAGGTTGATGTGGATATCTTCATCAATTATAGACATGTATCAAAAATATGATTGACAGATATAGACAATCTCTCTCTGTCTCTCTCTCTCCCTCTCTCTCTCTATATAATCGCACAAACACATATAAGTATATAAATTACATCTACTGTTGTATATTATATAGACTGCACTATTAACTGCTCACTGTGTATTGTTACTGTTCACAGCGTATGGTATTCTGTGTATCGGGTGAATGGTCTGAGGGCTGTGTTGCAACTGTTATTGTATGTTGTGATTTGTTGTTGTCTACTCTTATTTTGTCTATGCACCATAGTCTGTACCAAAGAACATTTTGTTCAGCTGTATACTTGAATGCGAAGAATGACAATAAAGTGTGACTTTATTTAACTTTGATTTTGACAACTTGTTCAGCCATTTTGCATGTAGTGACATAAGCAACGAACTATTGCCTAGATGTTTTGGGGGTTAAGACTGTTCAACAGAGAACTGGTATAATGCATTGTGATCAGCATGACATAACCAATCGATAATGTAGGAAACAGCAGACAATTGTACATAATCATTTGCATCAATGTGTCAAAGCATTTGCAATTTGTTCAAAACAATGAGAAATTGCTTTTATGATGTGCACAAGTGACGAGATGATGTGGGGGATGAACACGCAGTTTTGAGAACTTCAGATCTGAGAAATGTACTAAAGCAACTGAGAAAAACTGTAATAAGAAGCCTGATGCGAAGAACAAACAACAAAAGAAAAAAAAACTATTTAACAAGGAGGCTGACAACCGTAATATATCTGCAGCTATATCTATAAAGAAGACTGACAGCTCTGACCTGTGACACCCTAAATAAAACATGCCTCAGTCTCCCTGCAGTGATTTTGCTAATAAATAAATAATTCATGTACAACTGCACATGTTTCGTTGGCGTGTGAGCACAGAGTTTTGACCTTGAGTACAAAACAATACAATGCAAATCCACTCCCGACAAGTCGACACTACTTTAATAACTTCCTCCCAACATCTTCTGCCAACCAATTTACTGGCATGATGTGAAGTAGTTTGGTAAAACCGGGTTTGCTAGTCAGGGAAAGATTGTTATTTTGCTTGTCTTTATAAATGTAAAATTAACATCAGAGAATAGCTAATGGAAGGCGGCAGTGTTCCGTGGGTATCGTAGGCACTTTGGTGACATAAAAGGGACAAGCCAGAAGCAGCGGGACACAGTTTTTGTATCACTCCAGTGCTGATTAAAACTGGCAGGCTGATCCCCTCATGATGTGTACATAATTAGCTAACCACCCGCAGTATGCCTTTAATATCCAGTAGCCGTCAACTCTCCGGCTACAATGCGTTGAGATTATGCGTGTTTGCATCTGTGCTCACACATTGACTCTATGTGTTGATAGGTGACTATGCAAGAATCTGCAAGTACATATATCTGCTGTCTGCTAACATAATGTACCTTCAGTTTGCATGTGTGCACTGGAACCAGTACATTCCTGGGTTATGTTGTCTGTCCTCTGGATTTTCCAGGACCCCGGAAAAAACCCCCACTAGTACCAGCAGTCCAATTATAAGATCAAAATAAATAAAGCGTGGTGTAGTTCTTCCCGGGTGTCAGTAAATAAAAAGTCTTTAGGGACAGCCACCAAACCGATAAGTGCTTGGCTCACCCATGTAGGATACAGCCAGCGACTACCTGTCAACATCCATCCCCACCGCGAGACTTGGAGCTCCATTCTTCTCTGCCTGGCTGCTCATCCCTGTCCTTTTTGGCCCATGTGAGGATGCCCACTGAGCCCCGTCAATCTGCTCCTTGTTTGACCCATTCCCAGACGATGGTAATGTGACACAGAGACTGCTCACCTGAGTGCCTCACTTTCCATCTCTTTGGGTTAGATGCTTCAACACTGTGTGCAGCGCCTGGTCAGCCAAAAGGCTGTGATATTTATAATGCTCAGACCAGCCATTTCAGTTCACACAAGTGTGAGCACATTTCTGGCTCTTTTAAATGTCCTTACATATCCAGCTAGCATAGTGATGATGTAAATTAACTTACAGGCAGCCCTGCAGCTCCAGGCAGTCCCACATTGCCCTGTGAAGGAAGATAATAATTAGTGAAAACTTCTAAAACTACAGTCAATAACATCTCTAACTGGAAATGGCCAAGGCTAAATCAATACAGTATACAGTATTTTTGACTTTTAAACATCTAGTCTAAAGGCCAGACATCATGTTTGTGATAAAAACTGAAGGTCAGGTAAAAAAAAAAGATTTATTATGCATAGAAGTAATATTTTAACATATGCACTATAGAATGCTGTTAAATAGTATTTACAGTATGTCTTTAAATTAAGCCTGTCTGATGACTTTCACACTGTCAGACAACTGGCAGGTGGGCTGGTGCTATGACAGGCCTTAAAATAAACACAGCCGTACTATATCATGTAAAAGCTTTGCAGTATTAACAATGGACAGGTATGATAACATTGTTTGGTGACTGTGACATACAGGCAGTCATGAAAAGTCATATAAGGAAAGAAGTAGATGTCTTTTGACGCCAGCCTAACCCAATGTAAGCAATGATCTCACATGCTTTTTACGTCCTCTCTTGTTTTTTGTCTTTTCAGATAAAACTCATGTCTCACTGTCCAATATTTCTGCAGGTCTCTAGCCCTTCCCTCCCCCAATCTCAACAGTACTTTACAGTTGAGAATCAGTGGACTTTACAACTGGAAAACCCTTTTATCAGATGTGGATGAAAGAGGGAAAAAAGGTGCATGTAGTTCATATCCATTTTGTTGTCTAAATGAATGTCACAGCTAAAATATGCCTGCTATGGGATATTCAGGGGACTCATTACTTTATGCTTCCAAATCTGCCTCCCTCTGTCAGTTTCAATACAAACAAACGTTTTCTCCACCCCCACCCTCCCATCCGGAAAATAGGATAAAATACACTGTGATTCTCTGTTGTCTTCACGGAAACACACAGACCTCATTATAACTTCAAGGCTGGCAGACAGAGCATTGCACCTACAATTATGTGGTGAGTTCTTCCAAAAGACAACAACAACAAAAAAAAGCCCCTATACGGGAGGAAAAATAAAAGAGCGGGAGATATGGCAACTAATTACAGGAAAAACATTTCATCTCATACATGGAAAATAATCCCACTGTGGGATGAAAAGAAAAGAAAACTTTAAAAAGACCAATATTTTCTGCATTGCAACAAGAGTTAATCTAATTCATGTCAGTGATGTCAGTGAACAGACTATAAAAGGGGATGCAGATAAGAACAAGGTTTTGCACCAAACTCCTCTGCAGCACTTAAATCCTAGGCTTATGAAATCAGTCAGAGCCTAGTGTACAAGACATAACTGCATAACTGCTGGATTGCTAATATTTGAGACCAAATGAAATGTCAAATACATTCTAAGTCAAGAGTCCCCAAACGAGAAGGCAATAGTATGCAATGCACATTTTCACTGTAGGCTTTAGTCCCATAAAAAAAACTGTTTAGAGAGGGCATGATAAGAGGATTTTGTTGGGTATGTCCATTACAAACAGCTATCCCTATGAATATACAAATATTCTGCAAATATCAAGAGTGGAACATTTTCTCTCAGCCAGGATAAAAGCTACTCTATATGACCATCAATAAGGTCTTTCTAAGTTATGATAGCAATAACAGTATTCTTTAGCTGGCCATGTTTGGAGTAGCAATCACAACAGCACTTCAAACAGATGGGCAAACACATTATTGAGACTGGGATTACAGCTCATGAAAGTCAAGCAGATTCCCTGAAGTATCTATTTTCATTTAAAATAGAAAAAAAAAGAAAACAATTGCAATGATAATTTTGTCCAGGCCAGTATGTATGGCAGACTCACTCACTTTGTTTCCTTTGGGACCAACTGGACCAACTGGCCCTGGGTCTCCTTTCAGACCCTGAGAACAGAAATATACGATATATTGCAGTATATTTCTTTTCAGTGATAAAGACAGATTAAAACATGTGTTACTGTATGTCAGTATGTTGACACTCAGTCGACAAGTATCTCATGCAGGTGTGAGCTTCTCATGCCTGTCACAACCAGTCAATGAGAGAAAGTGCAGATAATGTCAATCATTAGACACAGCACGTACCAAAATGTGGCTGAGAGATTTACAATCAGCTGGATACACAGTGTCTACCCCCAAACCCCTTCTCTGTTTTCCCTCGGTGCACTTAGATTTAGCAAGGACTGACTGTCATTGCTTTTACACCTTGAAGCCGAAGACCTAGGGGTGGGATTGAACTACGTAAGCTCGGGGCAAAGTCGAGCACAGTGGTGAAATGTGAAAGAAGAAGGACAGCCGAGATAAAGAGTGATAGCTGATGAATGAGGCTTGACACATATTGACAGGCTAAATTTGCAGCAAGCCTTGTTAGGTGTGACACATTTGGGCCAGTAGCAGCAACTCTTTGAAATAGGTTAGGGAGGGGGAACAGGAAAGATGGGGAGTGTGAACGGTCTGTAAAATGACTCAGAAATACAATAATTTGTCATGGTTAAATTTAGAGTTAGAAAGGCTATTAATAGTGAATTATATATCTGCAGAAGATGATTACCTACCTTTATCACATTAAGTCTGGCTCCACCAGAGACGTGACTAATTCATTGCATATTCCCTGCAAGCCTCATACTTAACACTACCATTCAGAAAACAGAGTATATACTGGTGGTAAATAATTTCCCCTATGGTAACGCCAGCTAATGTAGCTTGTCTATAAGTTGCACTTACAGTGACATGATTTTATCAGATTATATCACTTTATGTGGCCCCTCAGCCCACGCACACTGTCTCATAGCTCTACGTGAGGGCCCAATTCTTTATTTAAATCGACAGCCTAACCACTTTACTGGGGCAATGTGACACAAGGGGATCCAGAAGCAGCTATTACCACAGCTGTGGCAGAAACGAGGGAGCATCAGAGTACAAGGCTCCTCGAGGACGTAAACAACTTCAGGTTCTGTCGATTACGGAAGTGTATTTGATTAATCTTGTAAGAAATTTGGCACCATTTACGTAATGAGGACATTTTGTCTCATTGTAATATAAACAGGTCTTCTTGTTGGGATCCTTCACAGTCATTATGTGTTTTTTTAGACCACTATGCTGACATTTGCTTCCATTCACAGCTTTGTGTTTGTGAGTTAAGGGCAAATTTAAACAAATTTCTAAACCCACATTACAGCACACTAATGTCACACTGAAAAAATCGTTTAACTCTGAATTTAATCACACATCACTTTGCAGCCCTCTAATACAAAGTCATGAGAACCTTATATGAAAACACAGTATATTTAAATATAATATATATAGTTGCATATTTTATGACATGCTTTCTAATTTGTTTCACTCCATTAATATTGTGTTGTTGCTGTGGCAACAGGCAGCACATGTAGATGCAGCAGCCGGTAGCTCCTTCAAACTTCGCTACACTACACTTTGTTTTTCATCTGTTTTTTTCCGGCTTTATTGCCGAAACACATATTACTTATGACAGGCTGCTGAAAAGGAAGACAGGGTTTTTGGATTAAAGAGGACTGGACCACGATCCACCAGCCAGATCAAGCGAACCAGGCACCACGGCGGGTGTGGTGATTGCTCAGAGGAGAAGAACGAGAGCCGGGATAGGTGCCATGTTGGTCCAGCTTTGACTTTAAGCAGCTACTAAAGGTCCAGTCTGGACAAAATGGGACACAGGTTGGCCAATCAACGGAGATCAGAGACTATCATGACTCGTGCCCACATCTTTACAGAGATCTGCCCCATCAACAACCCTGGATCAAGCACTCGGCGGGCGGGCGGACCGTGTTCCGAGCTGTCAGCACAAAACTCAGCCAAAATGTGTAACTTACATGATGATGCTTGGTGCTCCAACACAGTGACGATGGAATCTGTTTCCTAAATGTCAGACTTCGGTGTGAAGATGAAACCATATTATCATCTTGTTGCTGCTGTTTACATACACCCCAGACGCAAATTCAAAAAATGCACTGCAGAAGGTTCTGTGTGTCCACGTGTCTGTATATAGCCTTTGTATATAAATAACATTACATTTATTTATTTAGCTAACACTTTAATCTAAAGCAACTTACAATTGCTATACATGTCAGAGGTCGCACGCCTCTGGAGCAACTAGGGGTTAAGTGTCTTGCTCAGGGACACAATGGTGGATGGGTCACAGTGGGGGACTGAACCTAGATCTCTCACACCAAAGGCATAGTCTCACCCATTGCACCGTCACCACCACATAATACCACCCATTAACAGTATATAGACTATTGTTTTATTTTAATTAATTTAGTTACCATATTTTAATAAAGATTTAATTATCTGTTACCTTGAAGGGACTACAAAGGTGTGCTGTATCATGACAACGAAACAACCTTATAGCTTGTACCTTGTGTTATTTGAATTCATATGTTTGTAATTTATCTAAAATGGGGCTAGAGACACAGGAGGTTATGATTTTAATAAATTACCTGAACTTAAGTGTGCTGCAAAAAGCTAAACACTGGTTTTAAATCCTAAAACAACATGTTCTGTCTAGGACTGTCATATATAAATGAGAATTACTAAATATTACTATTACTATATAGGGTTTTGTTATAAGTCATAAATATTTAAGGTAATGTTTTACATCACTTTGCAAAATGAACCATACCCCAGCATCCTCTCCTGCAGACTACAGACACAAGACAATATGTTTACAGAAGAGTTGACAGGGAACTGCTATTATTCAAACTGAATAATGCAACTGGAATTGTGCAAGGTGGGGAGTTATTTTTCCCATGGCGCATGTTCATATCAGAAACCAAATTCAGGTCAGTCAGAAGCTCAGTCAATCAAAAAGTCACTCTCTCACCATATATTGTGCATTTTGCACCTTGTTTTACACTCCAGCTAAGCTTTGCAACTGTTGTGGCTAAAAAATTTTTCTGCTGGTAAATATTTTAATTACAGCTGTCAACAAAGCAGTTTTAGATAAAAGATTTGGAATTTATCAAGTTTGCACTCTCTCAACTGACTCACTTTCCCATGTGTGCTTGTGGTTGTTAATTTAGTAAGTAGTAGTGACAAAAAATACTTTGGCTGAGAAAAAGTATTCCAAAAAGGTTTTTTTGATAAAAAAAAAAAAAAACTTGGCTGTGGCGACTATTCAGATAATTCAGGACTGCAGTATTAAGTGACAGGAACTGTGGAACTGCATCTGGACTTGTCTGTAGTAATGTACATAATAACAACCAGTGCAAAAACTGAGCCCTTACTGGTTTTGGCTGAGGTTCTTGGCAGTCTTGCAAATTTTGAATTAAGGCATGTCAGGCCCACACAAAATGAAAATATACAATTAACCAGTTTTAGCTTTAATTGTCTCATTTTCCTACAGCCATTACTGTACACAAAGCTTTCTGAATTAATTTAGAGTTGGTGTTTGAATATGTTCTTTATATTTATGTATATGGGGAAACAATTACTGTTTTACTACTATGCTGTTTTAATCAACTTGCAATTATTTGTCCTCAAATAACTGAAAAGAGTTTCAGTTTATTCAACTTTCCCTTTCAGATGAGCAGAAATGTAAGATAATAAACAAATGCTGTATTTAATCAAACTGATCTATGGCAAGGTTTGTCCCAAAGCTGTGGGCAAAAATCTAGTTTCTTTTTGTTAAAACTTACTTGTTGTCACTGCTGCAGAAAAAAAAACAAACAACTGAATTGTGCAGTCAGCTGTTACCTGCCGATTTTATACACTTGTCACTGTGTAAAGTTGTGCCAGAACACTCTCTCAGCCTGTTTCACTCCCTTTTCCAAGCCTCCACCCACAGAGACTTTTACAACATTCATTCTAATGTTGTTCAAGTGAAATTAAGTGTTAGTGTTATAATATCAGTTAAAAACATTGCAAAACTAAATGTCAGTTGCAGTAGAAATAAGAGTAGAAAGGGAAAAGCATAATAGTGTGAAATGCCACTATGCCGCTGAAAACAATGTCATACTACTTACCTATGAAAGACTACATACAATGCATTGAGACTAGCATCCATGTATCCGCACATGCAATAGTTGCAAAGAATTCCTGGGAACCCATTTCTGTTCTGTCAAAAAACAAAAAGAAATACACTAGGCAATACTTTTTATATGCCAAAGGATAAAATAATCTTGGATAAAAAGAAAGGATTCATTGAAACCTACATGGCTACATGTAGATTTTAGCAAAGCAATAACTGAGATGTTTATCTAAACTACAGGGTTTTAAATAGTCTTAACTGACCAACAAGTAAATATTAAATTATGATGTATATTGATAATTGTCAAAAAGATCCCATCGCTCAGTAGAAAACATATAGTGACCCCTTAAGGGCAAAAGTGAACTTTTTTCTTTTTTTATTATTCTACTTTCCACACCATAGCCTTGTTAAGATGCTGCCCTTCGGCCTAATGGACTCAGTCGTGAGCCCACAGGCCCAATTCAGGTGCCCAGTGACATGGAGGGAGATGTAGACTAGAGGGGCTGGATATATTGTTAGCTTTTGTTGCAAGCTGAGGGCTTTGTTGCACTTACAGGGAAGGATGAAGGAGGGAGAAGGGGCTGGGAATAGGCTGGTGCTGACTGTGTGGTTGTCGTTCCTGCAGCACGAGGTCAGAACACTGTGGGGAGCTGTGTACACTTGCCTGCTAATTACACACACCACTGTGTCTCGTCACTCCTGTAGCGGTGGGGCCATAAGACAATCTGGCAACTCCCCAGCGCAAGACAACTAAAGCAAGCAAATAAACAGAGCCAGAGAAGCAGGGATGAACGGAGGCAATCTAATTAAGTTTACTTATACCTTTTACCAACCAGAGCAGCTGCAGGTCAGTGCCCTTGTCTGACAAGAGGTAGACTGATTGCAAGTTTTAGTTACTGTGCACAGTCACAAACTGGGTTTGGCCTATTGAGGAGAGGCTAAATTAAAATTGTAGATGTATTAAGTATTCAGAACATTCTGGTGGGGAAATGTTGTAATACTGAATGACAGGCCTTTAAAGTTCTGTGGAACAGGATCTCTAAGTAACATAGATATCTTGAGTGCCGGCCTACAAATGCCAGGGAGGTTACAGCAGGAAATGCCTTTTGTGACTTTCCATTTGCTCAGCGATACGCCACCACATACGGTGAGGTATAAGACTAATTACAATCACTGTCAGAAAAGATAGCTTATTCATATGTCTATTACACTCTATGAATAAATATAGTTAACTGAGGCAAACTAAACAAAGGGCTATCGTGTGAGGACATCAGAGTACACTGACAGAGATCTTCTACTGCAGGGGAGATCACTTTCCATCAGTGTTGCTTGACACCTTTTTCTGACACTTCAGTCTTTAACTGAACACCATGTATCCACAAATGTAACTTGGATAACACGGTGGTCACTCCTTCGGTTCCATAGGACGTGTATCTGCAAAATGATCCTAGATCACATGCTCATACATGGAATTCTAGCTTCTCAGGTGTCTACTCAGGCCTTAAATAACAAACTAGTTTTAAAAATGGAATATGAGCTAATTGCAGTAAAGGGACAGGTCAGGTAATAGAGCTGTAGTCACAGAAGATAGGTTAACTGAAATCACTAATGAAGTTTATTCGTGCAATGTAAAAGTTTTTTAATTTGTTTACAATCAAAGATAGTAACTTCTTCTATGCTGGAGCAGTACAACCACAATTTATTAGGGAAGTAAAGTTGAAGTATATGTTTTGATGCGTGATAATTAATTCACTCGCTGAGATTTTTCCTCAATATTAAAGCAAAATCAGCATACACACACACACACACACACACACACACACATACACAGTAGGCTATGTGCAGCTCTCACAGATTTTCAGACCATGCAATAGCCAAAAGGTCTTTGTGATATCTACATTACAGACTTAACACATCTGCAGTTGAGGTCTCTTAGAATAACTGTAGATGAGGTGAGGTTAGTGAAAGAGGCTCAACTTTATCCACTCACTTAAGGAGGCACTGGGGACACTGGTTTTAACCCATTGATTTATACTGCTTGAGGCTCACTGATGAGACATGGGGCCATGTTACATCATATCTTTTTTTCCAGTGTCCTGCCTTCATATAAATCTAAATCAAACACAAGGGGTTCAGTCAAGAGATCAAATAAATCACAGAAAAAAACACAACTGTGGACAAGATTAATGATGAACATCCCATCACAGCTTGATTTATGCCGTAATGACATGGGTAGAGAGACTGTGTTAGATCTTAAGATTTTCTTGGTTTTCACAGAATTTCCAGAAGGGTGCATACAAGGAAGATGTAATGTAGTGTATCAATGTGATAAATGAATGTTCTAGCCACTACGGGTAGAAATTACACATTCGGTTTAATCTCTTCACTTTAAGGCAGCTCCAGTAAATATTTTTATATTAAGAGTGGATCACATGACTACTTGTAAATGAAAGGAGAATATCACCCTACTTTGTAGTTCCCCTCCCCTCACCCTTGTAATGTTAGCAAACATGATAGAGCCGGTTTGAAGAATATCTTTCACTTTTGATTTAGCTACACTTAGGCTGTTTTTATGCTAATCTATGCTAAACACGTCTCAGAGCCACCCATTATTATCCATAATGGGTGAATGCAATGCTGGGCAAACAAGCCAGCTAGAAGCAATGCTTCAAAAATGTAGTCCCCATTTCTCAACTTTTTTTTGTTTCAAATCACTCAAGGAAGTAGGGCACAGTATAATAAATCCCTGGAGGGTACGCATGGTGAGCCATGTGTGTGTGACCAAAGAAAGCCCAACCACCCGTATGGGATGCACACAGATCCTGCTAGTCTTCCATGAAAACATATATGTGAAATTGATATTGGTCTGACTGTGGGTTTAAAAGTGTAATTCTTAAAATTGTTGGAGGGTTCCATTAACTGCACATAAATCAATTAATGTATGGATGAAAGAATATCTTCGATCGGTTGCAGGATAATGGTGAAAATGTTTCCATATTTCTAATCGCTAGCTGAATACTGACAAAAGAATGAGAAAGTCGTTTCTGGTTTCTGACTGAGCGCCACTAACGATGCCTCCCACACAGAGAGAGAGCAGAGGGGCGCAGGATGGCCTCTCAGCAGACTTTTGGTCCACTGCTGCCAATTTAGCAACTCACTACACCTTTCAGACACCCTGCTATATTCCAAAAGCGATAAACCTGGAAACTTCTCATGACCAGGAACACAATGTTATGCTGACCGCCCTAAATATATATGCTGACAAATATATTTTCTCTATTTATACAAACATGTGGCTAATTTTGATTTGTACAGCAGGTGGTCTTGTTCTCCATCAAATTTTTGTGTAAATAAACTTGACCACGTGATTCATATGCAAATGTGCATGTGACGTCAACTGGCTTTTCTAGCTGCCAAGAGTGGCTTACCTCGGAACAAAGTTAACCATGCTGGTTGTGGGAAGACTAATGCTTGAGTTTATAACTTGCAAATTCTGTTTTTTTTTAAATCTTTTTTACTTCGACCTGTATTTTACTTGGATTACAGCAAAATTAAGTTCTCCACGCTAACCTTCTTAGGGTAATAAAGGGAAATACTGAGGGGGGTTGAGGACAGAGTGACGGCATGTAAGTACAGAATCAATCCTCTCTGAGCTGATCCTTCCTAGTTGACCAGCCTCCTTTTGCTCTTCTACAATAACAGTAGGCTGCCTTTTCTCCTAATATCACTAGCAGCTGCACCATTAACACAACATAAGGATCTTTTAAAAAAGGATTCTTTTTGTTGCAACATGCATACATAGATAGTATCACTACTTCAAATTCTGCAAATATTGTGTTTTATCTCTTTTTAAATTCAGCCATGGTAAGTATTTTCCTGACCTTTTGTCACTGTAAAGCAGCTGAAAATTGCATAGATATAATCCCAGTTGAAAGCATCAAGTAAGTGATTTGAGCTTTGCAGAAAACAGCAGTATGAACATTATAATTTAAAGGTTTAGTTCCTTTTATCAATGAGATAATGCTCAACAAAGGAGATACTAATTTGTTTTACTGTATCCTGACAACTTTTCAAACTACTGAAAGATTTTAGATTTTTTTGTGTTAACAAACTACTTTTAGTACATTTTTAGTTCCTACTCATTTTTGAGTACCAGGTACTTCTGCTTCTATTGTAGGCTCAATACTCTTTCGGTTTTGCGGTACTTTTTACCCCTAGTTTTCTTTCCTGGTTTCTCTGTTAGGGCAGAGTGAAAGTCCTCAGCCTGCAGGGAGGCTGATTTCTGCGGCAGCTGTTTGTCTACTCTAGGGGGTGATGGTGATGAAAAGAATTCCCTTTATTAAGCCACTTTAAACTGACCATCTGCAGCAGCTACCATCTACTGAGATTGTACCATTGTGGGCAAACAAATGCTGTAACATACAACAACATAAAACATATTTTTATTTAACTAACACTTTAAAGGAATGTGCACCAATAAGATTGTGCCTAAAACAACTTCAGTAATATCCAAGAATAATAGATTCATTCATTTGTAATGCATTTGTATTAAGCTAAAGAAAGAAACCATTTGCTAGCACCTCATGTTGTGGTTTACATTACATACATTAGTTTCATCACTGCAGCCAGATTTAAGAGCATGCAATAAAGTTTAACCTGAACTGACACAGAAGGGGCTTACAGTAATTTGAAAAATTAGTTTAGTCCATTAGTATTCCAAGCCCATAGTAGCATACATATCAATTAATTTCACTGCAGAAGGACATTGCGGCCTAGAACACACTTAGATCTACTTCAGATATGACAGGCACCTGAAAACAGCCACACGGAAAAATGTGCTTCGCCTCTACCCCCAGGGCACCACACAGAAAATGAAAAGCCTATAAGAATTGATTCCCTGACGAAACTAGATCTGGCTGATGTGCTATGTATGGAATATATGTCTGCTGGAGATAGTAGTACTTACCTTCTCTCCATCGATTCCCTTTTGCCCTTCTGATCCAAGTTCCCCCTGCAATGACAAGATTGAAAGTTAAAAGGCGAAGAAAAGACCCTCGAAAAGTTCATACTTTTCCCCCCACTTTTACACCCAGTAGGTCTAAACAATTTGGTACAGTTCTTAATACCACCAACACTTGTTTTTAGTGTTTCATAGATGATCAGATATTAATGACATAAGCTAAAGAATACATTCATCCAGGCATTTGGAGTAGTTTTAAGAAAACCATTTATCCTCATCAGCATGCAAATTTAAGCACCAAGGGACTACACAATCTTATCACACCACTGTAAAGTTGGACTGTGTGGTGTTGGTATGATATAGATATCATGCATTTTTCTTGAGTTATTGTGGTTAGAAGAATATGTCTACACTTGTGCACAAGACAAACAATCGCATAACACCAGGGCGACATTATACCACACATGTGCCAGGGTGATGGGGCACAAAAAACAAATAATTTCTAAATATAGTTATCTATGTAAGTAACAGTGTTCTTAAGGGGGTTAGAGTTTCCAGAACCTATTTTTTTTCTATCTTTACTGGTGCAATAACGTTAAATCCCAAACTCAAATTCACTCACAGCTCCTTCAAAATGAACTTAGCGAGGAACTACACACTTGCATCACAGTGACACCGATACAAAAACCAAAAACACATTTGGGTCCAAGACACCAAATTCCCAGCAATAGTGTTTGCTTGGTGAGCTCACTGCATCATTTCAGCTCCAGCAAAGTCTATATCATGTGTAAGATTATACATATGTTGTTGGGGAATATGCTTATTTCCACAAATGTAACATCTTAGTGGCTTATTTCCACAAATACCTTCCCGATCAGTGATTCTGCTCATGCTACCCAACCCCGACTTTCCACTCCAGCCGCCAGAAATGTGTGAGATGTCTTGGAACTTGTTGGTTCTGTTATTAGAGTGTAACCTATACAGTTTCATGACCTCAGCTGGCCCGTAAAGCTCAAGCAAACTGCCATGTTATAGTGTCCAAGGGCAACCATATCATTACTCTCATGATATCGACAGCTGCGTGAAATTGTTGCTTTCGTAATAATGCTACCAAAGGAGCCTGAAAATGTGTGTATTAGGTTTTGTCCAAGGGCACGATTTAAGCCAAAAGTGCCTTGTACCATCTGTACAGAACACGTGCCCATACAGTACATCTGTAAAAACAAAACAAAAACAAAAACAAAAAAAAACAAGTGTAATACTATAACAAACACACATTTATAAACAAACTAAATTGTGTCAGATTTCATAAAACATTTTCTGGAACAGTAAAAAAAAAACTTCATTGACGAGGAATTGAGCTTAGGTCTAAAATACTGTGCATGGTATTGTGCATTAGTATCAATAACAATACTAGTGGTACTAGTCTTGATGTTTTCCTGTGCACTGTTGTGTAACAAAACAGCTTTAGCTGTCTCCTGTACCTCATCTCAGAAAGTACAAGTGGAGAGAGCTGTGCCATTAAGCGTTAATCCATATTCCATGTATCAAGATTCATTGGCAAATATGTCACCCCACAGTGAGCTTAACATCTCCAATGGATATAGGTCCAGGATTAAGCCGTCTATCACATCCAGGAATGATCCTATTTACTGCTGATGCATAAACTGCTTCCACAACGACATACAGTACAATTGATCACTAGAATGCAATGAAATATCTAGTGGCTATGTATTTTATCTGAGAATAAAATCACGATCGCACACCTTTTCTTTCTAACATATTAAAATACTAAAGGACATCTCACTGCAAGACATGGAAACAACACCCAACGTAGAAGCATTACAGTAAGTGGTGGCTCCTGGCTTGACACACCCTTCCTCACTGAATGAGATTAACACAGGCATATGAGGGTCAAAAAGTTTTCTGATGACAAAATCATATAATGCAATAAAAAAGCATCAAAATAGGGATCCCAGTAAAATATAATTTTAATGAGAGCATGCAAAAACTGGCAGTTTTCTTAGCTCTTCAGGAGCAACAGTGAATTACAGAACATGCACTTCGCCAGTCTTAAACTTTCTGTTCTCCACAGCAATGCCTGTCACTCCTGACCTCCACTATTGGCCTGGGGAGGGTGTAGACTGTTACCTCAAATACACATAAAGTTATGCAAGCTATTTGTTTTTAACACCCAACAGTGAGGAGCTTCACTGAGAAGGCATAACTGAGACGCTGAGGTTCACAGTCAGATCCCATCCCTCTCTGCACAGACAGCCCGACCATCGAATAGAGGTTGCAGGTACAGAGACAAGGACACGACCCCTTACTGGCTTACCACCAATGAATACTGCTAACTGTGTCCAATGGGACGCCTGACTGAACCAGTCACGCCACTGCTTGGGACTGAACATGCATCTCTGTAGCAGCACCATTCACTCTGCGCCAACCAGGCACCCACTTGCTGGTTTAATTTGATTTTGAGATTGCTTTGTTTTCTGTGTTGCTGTGATGGGGTCAACACAAAGCAAGCCAGTGATTCAATCCAATGATGTTAGAAAATCATCTCAGAGAGGGGCAGTGACAGATTCCATAAATCACTAAACAAAACATGCCACCTGCTTTTCAATGGATTAGAAATCCACGTGGTAAAAAGTTTGAGGAAGTTTGAGTTCATGTCAATCACAGCTTTAAGTGCAAAGCAACTTGATGGTTATATTTCTAAGTTGTTTCAGTGGTGAATGGCTTACATTATGTCCTGGGTTTCCTGGAAGCCCGGCCTCCCCTGTGTCGCCCTGTGACAAAACCAACACACAGAACAGTTAGTGAAAGGTCTCTCGTTCACAGATTAGTGAATAGCTTTATGAAGGCTTGTCATTTCGTCAGCGATCTTGCTCCTACAGCTGTTCTACAAGTTCTTGCTGACACAGTGGCTCAGCAGCTGCAGACCAGGATAATATTTCCAAACAACTGGAAAGCACAAATCTGAACCTTGTTAAGGTTCATTGTGTTATTTTAATAATTGTATCATTTTAAGAAAGAGGACAGAGCGGCGTAACAAAGGAAGAAAAGCTTAATTGTTTTAGGGATATAACATTACAGGACAGTATAGGACAAGACACAATGGGAAAGAAAAGGAAAGGAAAGGGAACTAATTGTCCCCAATATTGCTAAGACAGAGAAGATGGAAGTAGATAGGTATTAAACAAATTAAGCAAACACAGAACTTGCTGCAAGCTAAGAATCTAATTAAACACGATGTCCATTCACGGTCACATCTTCATTTCAAGCCCTGTTTGTTAGAACTCAATAAGCTTGTTTAGGAGGAACATGAAATTGTGGTCAAACTTAATAACTAAGACGCTATCTCTATAGCATGGGTTATGAACTCATTATTCTGCCCATTATTCTAGACAGCATGCTCACTCTACCTTTCATTTGATCCTAAGAAATACAGTTCTTCAGTGAAGTAAACTGACTAGATATTAAGCTAGGTGTGATACTTTCCATGGACTCAGCAATTAGACGATGATTCCATTTGCGTGAGACAATAGAAATTCACAACTGCTGATGTCTTTCGTTAAGGACAGATAAACCTGCTTAAAAATGCCTGTGGGAATGTACATATTCCCACATTCATTCATTTACATTTTCTGTCCAATTGCTGACACAAAACTCTTTTTAGAAACGCTAATAGCATTTTAAGTGTGATGAATATAATAGGAACAGTGCAAGGTTTTGACAGTATATCAAAATTCAGTGTCAGTGCAATAATAAACTGTCTTGAATAAGATTCCTGGAATTATTCACTTTGGCGGTACAATGGGTATAAATTGAATTAGTGGGTACTAATTGAAAACACAAGCCATAAGGGCAGGAGAGTTGTAAATGGGGCAAAACAAATTAAGGATATTGTAAAAGGGGAAGAAGTTTTAATTTCACCATTATGCCTGTGTTTTTTTCTTTTGCATGTACATGCATGAGCAGTAAATCTAGTAATACCAGGGTTTATATGCAAGGCCATAGAAAATGGATTTCCTTTCAAGTAAGCTGCATTCTTATAACCCAATCCTTATCTGTTTAATTTCCTGTGGGATTCTGGATTAATCATAGCAGTTTAATCCCTTTGCAGTGCATTAGAATCCTCCATCAAACTCTGACTGTAATGCGGGATAGTACTTTCTGTTGGAGTAACACAGCTAAAGTAATCCACACACACTTTCCCAAGGAACCCTCTGTGTAGGTCACAATGATTGGCCTGCAGTTCTTATTATGGGTGTTTTAAATGCTCTAAATTGCCCAGATGTCTTTGATTAATCTCTACAAAGTCAAGCTAAATTGTTAATAAGTATACTCTCCGATCTTTTACAGCTTGAGATTCTCATGTTGGTAATTGAAAGGCTCATGAGCTTACCTTATTAACAGTATTTGCTATGAAGTTGTTAACCCCCTTTTAATGTATTATAATGTAAATCTAAAAGAGTGTATCCCTGTTTAATGGTCACTAGAACTCCCTTTGAAATGTAGCGATCAATATGTATTAAATATGCTTTAACAGACATGCACTGATACCATAATTTACCAGACAGATTCATGTCCAACAAAGTCAGAGCGAATAAGAGAAAAGCAATAACTGCACGCGACTGTGTCCAAGCATGACGTTTCTGATCTACAGCACAGATGGCTCAAAATAAACTACTTTTACGGGTTTTTTTCTCACAGTGGTGGTGGTACATGAACATTTGCCCACAAAACGGGAGAAACATTTTCACTTGACGATCAGTGACATTATGTTGTTTTCAAGTATCTGCTGCTCTTGCTCAGAATGATGATTATATTCTAGTTGCTTACTTGACTGATATTTTAACTAATGTCAGTGAATGGCATACTGTATACTGCGTTGACTTCATATGCAACTATGCCTGCACTACTGAATCAAATATACAATACCATAACTTCTTAACCTGTAAAACCAAGAGGATTTGTTTCAAGTTATTTTTTGGCAAAGTAAAGTGTGTCAGAAAACCTTTGCAACTGAGTCTGTCAAACACAACAACTATGGCTTGTGTGGACTAATTCTACAACTCTATAACTCTAAATCAGGTCAATTAAATTATCTCAAAGCACCACTGTCAGTGTACTAATTGCTGGAGTGGCACTGGAGCTGCTGTGCCTGTAAAAAGTATTGATTTCATTCACCATTTAAACAAATGCCTCCCTGCCCAAGATTTGTTAAGCCACGATTTAACCTTAGATTACATGTGGTGTTTTTCCACACTCAGAATGTCTTCTCCTCTCATAGTGCAACAATTCATTACACTATGCACGTATAAGAAGATGAATAGATGAACAAGGGGATTAGGACGAAAAGGAGGTTGAAATGAAGAAGATGAACCTCCCAAGACCAGAGGTGGGAGGAACAAATGGGGGGAAGTAGGTCAGAAATGAACACCATGATCACATTGTCTTTACAGTAAAATAGATGTCAAGAATAGAATTCATAATTGTGGTGCTATAAATACACTAGGGGGCGTGTGATTCAGACAAAAAAAATGTTTGAAATAGCTTAACTTAAATATGCTATATACTAAATGATTCAAAAATCAAAGAGCAAAATATTTATATTGCATTGCATCAAATGTTTGCCAGTAGTAGTGTAGATTAATTTGGTGATATCAGTAAAATTGGTGCTAATAGACATAAACATTGAGGCTAATTAAAAATAAAGCTGTGTGGGTTGCCATATTGTTGTTGTTGTGTATTTTATTGCATATTGTGCACTTCACACTGTAAGTATTTAATGTTATTGTGTATGTATATGGTGCATAATTAAGGCAGGGTAAGCAAGAGCTCAAGCATTTCATTGTATTCTTATCCACATGATAATAAAGTTGAACCTTGAACCTTGGATATAAGCTACTACTATCATGAGCCTTCATCAGAATTAAACATTAATATAAACATGGCATTATACTTGAGTTACTATACTTCAGTTAAGTTTCACTTTACCACTGAGGTAACATACTATTAATCCACAGTGGAATGTCATCAGACAAACACAATAATAAAGGTTATGTTTTGTTTCTCAGTAAAAACGGGTTAGAAGAATGTCTTGGTGTTTTCAGCTATATTTTGCCAGTTTACCACCATGAGACTAGAGGGCTTAGTATTGCATGTGTAGTCCCTGATCAAGTTTTTCCTTAACTTTATTGATTTAGTCTTCAAGCCTATAATAGGATTTGTTATAAATTCTGTTGTTCAGTAAGTAAACAAATGGTGCCAAGTATTGATTCGTTGAAGACCTGAAATTAGATTTCGGGTGTTAACAGTATGAGCCACTGACTCATGGCACAAGACATGGCCAGCAGAAATAATGGCCTGTGCTGCTGAAAATCATGTGTAAATTGTTGTTGAGTATTGTGACATAACAGCTCAGTAAGCTTTTACTCAGTACACTCTTAACATGCTTTTGCTGTACACAGGTGATCTTTGCAGATAAAAGATACATATTTGGATTTGCTCTCAGGCGTCAGTTAAAAACTAATTTAGGGAATACATTTCCAAAGAACATGTCAAGGTGCCTGCTATACAAGCAATTTTTTTTTTATATGTAAAATTGCCTGATGCATTCTTACCCACTGTAGTCATATCAATTAGCAACAAGTAATTAATCAGCAGCACCACCAACACACTCAAAGTGCACATACAGCTTGAGAGCTCAACTCTGCTATGTCAATTAAGAGTCATTAGAGGCCAATTACTAAACATTTACAAACCTGATTAGTACAATATGTTGCTATACACACATTGTTTGGAATATAATATTGAAGAAAATGGATTCCCACATAGCACATCTACAAACATCTATGACTGTTTTAAAGAGTGCATAGTTGTCACACCATATAGAATCATAAAAATAACAACAACTAGACAAACACTAGAAATTAAAACTATAGAGCTTTAAAGCTACAAATGTATGTACTGTGTATATTTTGACATTGTAAATAATTGCCTGGAATAATGGCAGCACAACGCAAAACATGAATTCCTTCTTTAACAATTTTGAAATCTCTATCATTTATGATTTATTTTACACCTTGAAGACAGAAAAACGGCCTAAAATGTTATGTCAGTGTTAAGCTTTATTCTATAAACAGCACCAGCAGCTGGTGCTGTTTATAGAATAAACAATGTCACAGTAAGAACAATTCACTGTGTAGACAGGACAAAAAATACCCCACTTCCAAATTTCAGCACTGGGCTCTACAGGTTTAATGATTTTACACCCATGTGTGTCGCTTTCCAGGAATTAGTGGTTTTCCAGGAAGAAAAGTCTAACAGTCATCCTGCATATCTTAATCCCACAGCCACATCATGGTAATTAGGACACTGACCCCAAAAGCCATCTGGTCTTATCAGGCATAGAGTACCACCACCTGTTCATCCCGATGCATTCCATTCATTGCTGGACACATTCTCCTTTGGTCCTTTTTTTTAACCTTGCACAACATCTAAAAGGGGATTTTACACTCCAAACAATGTGATTTGTCTAGGGGGGAATAACACTGTTTTTTGTCTGGGTATTTGGTAGTTCGTTTATATTTTTCTGTTTTCCTCCAAACAACACCACAGTCACAATTTTCAGTGACAGGGCATTTACAATTTACAGTTTCACCTGTCCATTGAGCTGTCATGGAGAAAGTATTCTTCCCTTTCTGAACAACATTTTTTTTTCTCGAGTGATTGGAGAAGAAGTATGATTTCCCAATTCATACACCTTGGGAGATTTGGGAGAAAATTTACCACGCGAAGGTAATTGTATGGTATCGTCTCTGTGAAGGACCTTGACTGCTGAACATGAAACTTTGTCAGACAGCATAGACATTTGCTTGCTAAGAGAGAGATGTACTCCTCTTCCTCCGACAATCAGTGTATGACACAAGAATACATTTGTCTTATAGGGACTTGCTCTCTGTCTTGACATTTAGACCTTGCAACTTCCCTGGAAAACCAGTTGTACTTGCCACAGAGAAAGCCCAAGGCAGCAGTTGAGAATATCATTTCAGAACAAAAGTATGGTTATTTAACAACAAGGGACAAAGCACGGTGGCCCTGTGATAACACTCTCTATGATTAAATCTTTCTGCATTATGTATGACTTACCGTGACTTGTCAGTGATGCTTCCAACCTAGTTATGTCTAGACTGCAGTGAAAATATTGCATCTCTACCATTTACTTAACCCTTGCACAAAAGTGCATATATCAACATCATAAAAATATAGTCCATACCTTGGCTCCTTTATCCCCTTTTTGTCCATCTATACCTGGCAGACCAGCATCTCCCTGTGCACAAAGTATACATTAGTAGGACTGAAAGACTTCTTGTAATAAAAGAAAATGTTACTATTGCTACTGAATCATGCTTTATCAATCACGTATGCCATCAACATAAATCCTGAACATATGACACTTGATTGTGATCCTGACTTTTGATTCTTAAGTCTCTACAAAGAAGCAGGTGTGTGTGAGCCACTGTCTTGGTCTGTGTTTGTTTAATTAAAAGACTGTGCCCTCGTATTGCCAAAAGAGAGATAGATAGATGCAGGTGCTAATAAAGGTTTTAAAATAAAGAAAATAAAACTCTACACCCACTAACTAATTGGAAGGAAATGTCATTTTGTGAAGTCTGAGGGCATTTTTAAAGAAAACTCATCTATTAGTTACTGTTACCATACTGATATGCCAATGGTACACATTGTTACAGAGTATAAGCTGTTACTCTATGGATGCTGCATATACTAATATACTAAAAGTTTTTTTGGTATCAGTTAATGATATTGATTTTTTAAAAATTGCAATGTCATTGTGTTTCAATCTAGCACCCTAAAATGTTGATTTGACTGTTTGACAAAATTAAAAAATCATAAAAGGCAGGGTGTGGAATTGGACATCACCTTGCAGCTGTACCATCTGCTCCACTGAAGCTTTCAGGTCTCAATTTGCATTTTAATCTGACATCAAATCTAATATTTGCAGTTGAAAGAATCCTTTTGCATTTTCACAAATTTATAGCAGTGTGCAGATGTACCATGTTTAAACAGTTTGTGAGAATTATACCTGTGTTTACTAATAGATTATGGCTGTACTGCCCGTGGTTGGCATCCAAAGAAAATACCTTTTGGTATAAATGTCGTTTAAGTGGCTGTTTAGTGCCTATAAAGGATTGAGGACATGTAGTGTAAATCAGAGCTGGTTCAGTTACAATAGGCATTACACTTACTCATTTAGAGGCCCTTGTTGGGTGGAATTGATTGTACCTTTTCAGTGGGACAGTGACATCTGTCAGTTGACTGTAAGGGCGGCTGAGACAGCATCTGGGGGAGCTGGGCTGTAACCAGGGGAGGGGAAGTCCCATTAAATGTCTTCTTGGCTTCACACTGGATCGATACAGAAATTTCACCATTTAGACTTACTTTGTCAGGTTCACTACATCAAAAATCCACTGCACACTTAACCCAAGCTAACCTGAGTTTTAGGTGGCATATATTTACGTCATGCTACAAATAGGAACTATAAAATGCATAGTGCGCAGTTTAACTATTAGTACAAAGCAGACAAACAGTGATTAGTCCATAAGGTTGTGACAATTCCCTAAGAGTAACTGTACCCTGACATGACAGCATGCATTATGTAGACATGTAATGTTAAGGGGTCAAAAGTCATCTCTCCATTTGGAATCAATGTAACATAAGCTCTTAATGATTCTATGGTGATAGAAGATCTCTGTTATTAAGTTTCTTTCGGTTTCTGATCACACTGCATAGGTTAAAATGAATGTACATTAGTACAGTTTTCTATCTCTGAAATTTGAATATTATATCTTTAGTTGTGAAATGAACTATATATGATAAAGGACGGAAATATCATAAATTCTCATTGCACGTTGTCATTTTATGTAAAATAAACAGTGGGTGTTAGTTGATGAAACATAACACTTTACCTTTGGCTCCAGTAGCTCACAGCAATTTTCCATTTCAGCCATATAAGGGTCACAGTAGATTAGAATTTGTTTCAGTTCAATCTGCGGAAAAGAGCTTTTATTATGAGATCATTCCAGCATCATACAGTTTTATTTGCTCTGCACTTGACAGTAAAATCTGTTCAACTGTCAGCTGTTCTAGCTTGAAGTTGAAGCTTGAACAGTTCAAAAACATCACTTCTAAACCTAAAATTAATCTAAACCTAAGCTTCAACTTCTAAATAAATTGCAGCTGCTATGGGGCAAAACCCTAGCATTTTTTCATATTTACTGACTTATATCTTTCCAAATGACTTTGACTAAAGAGTCAGCTGTTAATGCTACTTAAGCCAAGTCCTACTCAGAAACATTGATTGACCAACTGGCATGGCTGGCCTAATGTTTTTTTAGCACTTTGGGCAATCTCTGACACATATGACCCAATAGAGGATTTACACAAAATGATTTGAAGATAGTACGCTATTAATCAAAACTGGTGACAAATAACAAAACTACCACTCCAAAATTGGTAAATCCTTAAATGACACAGTTTAGATTTAGCTACAAATTTTGCTTGGGACATACATCTACAGGCCGCCCATCCTCTACTCTCGTCGTGATGAGAGTGCGTCCACTTGGGTCAAAGTTGTCCTTCTCATCGGTCAGCCTCTTTTCTATTAGCTTGCAGTCGAGGTAAATGGAGGCTATGTTGCTCTGTACAGAAATGCTCAGCTTGTGCCACTGGCGATCGAAGAGGGCATGTAGGTCACGGCTCTTAAACGTGTAGCGGAGAGTGTTCTTCAGCAGGCCCTGGAAAGAAAACTCCACCACCTTCTTGCCACCATCAACCACAACAGATACCTGAGGAGCAAAGAAGTGTTTAAAAATGGGGTTCTTGTCACAAAGGAAAAACATCTATCCCGTCATATTCTACCATATTTGTATGTACTGAAATTGATATGTGACGTTAAAACATACAGTGAGGCCCACCTGACTGCCTCCCGACTGGTCAAATATCTGCCAAAGATACCAGCGGTCTCTTTTTGTTGTTCTTCTTACCCGGAAGATGGTGACAAGGGAGTATTCACTCGAAAGACCATTTGGAAATACCAATCTAAAGAAAACATCGTATGACACAGTCAGATTCACAGAGAATATAAACATCAAATCGAAACTAATCTTTATCTAAATTAAAACATCAAAAATGAAAGATAACAATGTCAAGTGTGTCTCAACAGTGAATGTAAACCCTTTAAAATCTTTCACTGGCTGAACAATGAACCAGCCAATCAACTTCAATGATCAATAAAACATTTCAATATCCCGCTGCAGAGACATAAATAAACCTGACCAACTTGATTCCATTTAGCTTGATGGATTTTATACTGGCTTCCCTGACATTCAGATAATGAAAACATACAGAAATTGATCCAAAGTCACAGAAGCCAATCTTTTACCTCACCGAGATACCATGTGCTAAAGTTATAGGGTTGTAGATGCCTAGTGCCATGCATCTATAGGTTTATGCGTACGACCTCAGCTGCTCTGTAAAATCATAATAACAATTCCGTGTTCACAGCCGAAAATGTGCTCCAGCAGAAGCAAAATATGCAGAGAAATAGAGAATATATATAGGGAAAAGAATATCATATTTCAAATCACACCCACTCTCATATGAAATATAGCTTATTCAGTAACTCATCTCTCAGCCCACACCCCCACTCCCTTCTTAATTTTATACATTGCGTAAAAAGAACAACCAAACATTGTACCCTTCAAACTACTCTAACCCTAGCCCTAACTCCAGATTCAGATTAACGCTCAAAAGTGGAGGAGCATAAACATAATAAATCAAGATCAGCAAAAATAATAATAATGCAATGATAAGGTCATTGAAAAGGCAGAGCACAGCCTGGGGGAGGGAGAGAGAGAGTTTCTTCAGACAGGTTGGAAATTAGTTTTCAGTCCAATATATCATCTCCTATTCTCTCAGAGCTTCATACCCTCTTCTATTGTGTCCCTTAAATTCTTTGAGATTTCTGTGTAAATGGTACATGACTAACATGATAAATACACCAAGCTAAAGCTCCTGAAAAATCAAATGCTTCTTTGAGAGGGCAAGGACTGGGGAGGTTATTTGTTGCCCAAGGGCTAAAGGACTTTTTCAGTTGCAAATCAATATGAAAAGTGGCAGGGCAATTTATAAAAATGAGGTTTTAAAAAATTAATTCAACACAGAATCTTGCCATGCTGTGCATACAGTAACTCCTTGTCCCACATGTATTACACATTGTAATAAGAGCCAGGGAATAATGTGTGCAACAAAAGAGAATGTACTACACTAGACATTTAAGCAGGTTTAAGATATTCTGCACAATTCACTGCAGGGCTGTTTTCTGTGTTCTGCCCTGGAGTTCACACCCATCTTCGCAAAGTCTCCAACTACGTCTGCTCTTATTTCAAAACACAGTCTGCCTACAGTGCGGCACACTTGATCTCTGAGGGCCCAGAGGGTTAAAGTTCTTGACCTTGTGTTGACTGCCATCTGTAGCTAAATGGCTAAACTCGGAGCTCAGTGTTGGTTGGCGTGCTTCTTTGGAAAAACGCTCCTCTGCATGTAAGTGATAATGAGAGAATGAAAAGGATCTGCATTCATTTCCCCTGCTCCCATGCTTCAATGCCAAAACAACTTTTACAGTATACTGAATGTGATTCTGCCAACCCTGTGTTGTGCAAGTTCCATTTATATATATAACTACATTGCATTGGCAAATATGTTTTGGAAAAAATGTAACTGCCTAATGGATTACATTCAATGACTACATCCATTATCAGGAGAAGCACAAAGGTTCACAGAGCAACACCCTGGCTGCCACAAGAGTTATAATCAAAACTAATTCCATTTTTACAAGGAACGGCCATGTGTTTTCTGGAAACTATCACCACTCTTGGAAAATCTCTTTGACCATGCATATTGCTTGGCTGACACTGCTCCTTGTATAATCAGAGACAATGGTTTGACAGAATGTCACAGCAACACTACCGGTCTGGTAGAGAATCTCCCGGAAGCGGCTTTAGTGTCCTTGCTTGTAAGAAATCTTATCCAGGAGGATTCTTTTAAATTAGTCAGAGGAATCAGATTGCTCTAGCTGAAACAATCAAACCTCCGATGTTGGCCTAGTTGGCTCACATCCCTTTCACTGACACCCAGTCCTCCAGCAGCTCAAAGTGGGCTCAGCCATGTTGGTTTATACGCTAAATGCATCATTCATGCTAGCAAAGACTGTAACTTCCTCTCAGCTTGAGTCCCCTTTCCTGTTTAAATGTGGAAGGGGTGTGCTTGCCAGCATGATAGAAGACTGCCACTGATCAAGAAGAGCTTATACAACCAAGTGTACATGTGTGTAGCTGGGATGTGTACGATTGCCATGTTATCATCATTCCAGTAACATATAAGGGTTCCTTGGCACCCGTACCTAATTCAAGATAACACTGCAACAGCAAAAGGGCACTAGCAACAGATTTTCAATTTCAATCAACAAAAATTCTTTAAACAGAGTGTGAAATTGTTCAATGGTAGGAAATCACTGTCAAATCACTTACCATTAAAATGACTGAACTGTTCCTGTCTGACTGGTAATGTGTGTTGTGCATTTGGTTAATTTTCCTTACTGCTTCATACAAGCCCCATGACACAAGTCACACTCTATGGATGCGTATTTGTAAGTAAGTAAGTACAGGTAAGTTAAAGCATTTCACACTGTCTGCATGTGTGAGGCCATAAGCTAAAAGGCCACTGACGTCAACATATATCTTTACAAAATGTATTTCTAAACAGAAAATATGTATATATCTATAGCCAAGCATTTATAAACTGCATTTTCCAGAAATAGTTTAGATGCTTATGACTTAAGAAAGAGTGAGTCAGCTATAAAGTATTGATTGCAGTGAGCACAGATGATTAATTAGCTGACACGACAGTCACAAACCACTGAAGCCATGGATTGATAAACAAATACAAACCCTGCTCATTTGAGTCTCAATGGCTCCTTTATGTCTACATTCCAAATACACTGTATCTTAAGCATCTACACATAACATCAGCATTGCTTTGTGTATCCCATTTTACTTGTTTCTAGTTGCTTTAATGAAAGTGAACGTTACAGAAAATTTACATTAATAATAATTACAATAACAAAAAGCACAACAAATTCTGAATCTGTAGACTTGTGTGCATTCTGTCTTCATACTTGGGTAGGTTTTGTTTTGCAAAATAAGGATTGGAATGTCAGTCAACATAAAACTATAGTCAAATAAGGCTGCTTGCTGCCTTATTGCAAATAAGATTATGTGACAAAGAGCGAGGCCATGCAAGAGATTTAACAAATAGATACTAGAAATCAGCAATATCAACACGGCCTTCAAGACAGTGGGAGGGGTTTCACACCCTACTTGGCCCACCAAGCAACCTTAGATCTGGTTTTTGCAGGAATATAGGACAGCAAGGGGTATAGAACAGTGAGGAGTATAATCAGCAGGAATGAGTTTCAACCCCTGACCCAAAGTACACACCAAAAAGTTAAGCGCAGAATGGATGCCAAAGCTCATCTTAAGTGTCTAACTCTGCAGCTAGACAAAGTCACAATGCTGTGCCTTGACAAAATCCCAGCAACCAAATAAACACAAAACTGGAATTACCATATTAGAGATAACCAAAGTAGCATACTCGAAGGTTCCTCTAAAACAAATACTCACTAACCAACAAACTCGTCCCACGGTGCAGATTCAAAGACAAAACAATGCTCACTCAAACAAAATCTAAACAAGGCATGAGCTACAGCAATACCAAAGCTGCTACACCAAGCTGCCAATTTGCAGACACAATTACGGTAAAAACTTCCTCACTACTAACATTCTAGTACCTCACTTACCAAAACAAGTTCTACACATTATCAAGACTAGACAAAAGGAGAGATTTTTACAATTTCAGCCACATTAGAAGGTTATAGCCCTAAGAAACAAATGCTCAAACGTGTATTGAAAGATGTGCATGATCCCCAGCCCTATCTAACTAATTCTGCTTACTACCCAACTAGTCTCAACCTTAGTCCTCAAACAGATGCTAGTAGTGGGTACGGTTATGCACCGGTTTCAACAAACCCAAAAGGCATCCAGAAACTGGAAACCCTCTGGCAACCAGGGAAATGCTCCCAAGACAGCTTCACCCACACTCTGCACAATACTAAAGTGAAGAAAAGACAACAGTAGGTCTCTGTTGAGATCAAACACCCTCAGCCTGCAAATAGGGGACAAAAGCTGCTCCCGTTAAACATACAACAAAAAAATGCAGAACTGTATTGTATTGCAAACACCACAAAGCCTGTACGTTTTTTGCCTAAATATATGAGGAAATGTGTAATATGTATTGGGACGACAAATTTTAATTATAAATATAAATATAGCACATTATATAAACAACATATTATATGACTCAGATGTGAATATGAGACAGTTCATATAAGATGTAAAGAGGGCAAGTCCATGTTTCTACAGACAGACAGCAACATGGTGCTTTAATACATTATAGAAGCATGTTATGAATATGTGTTGAACTTTGTAGGGCAATTTGTCACCTCACACAAATGTTCCTTGAGTATGTTAGCTCCAATATATGCACCATAATGTGTGCTGTGCCAAGGAGCTGGTAGTCTTAACATTAGCCAGATCTCAAGAGTCGAGCATCTATTGCTGAATATCCTGCTGGTAAAGTGAGCAACGTTTTAGTGGCTGTGGCAGGGGCAGAGGGGCCTCCTGCTTCGTGCAATTGCCCTAGCTTTCCTTTCTCAGCTGACATGCAGTATCACCTGTCAAAGTACTTAGATAATTGGATATGAGAGGGATCGCAGTCTGGCCACTATAACCAATGACACTGTCAGCAGTGTCATTGAGAACCAGCATCTTCTTGCACCATGGGCCCAGACTGAGGGAAGGGCTGAAGTAAATGTATTTTCAGCTGGCAGACTGAACAGGGAAGGAGATCACAAATCACCTGGCTCAAAGATTCTTTCACCTAGCCAGAGGGTGAGTGGCAGTAAATGTTTACAGTTGCACGTCATGTAAAAATGCTAAAAATATCCACCCCCTCGCGATGGAATGACAAAGTGTTCTCTTTTACTGTTACAACTTGAGGACACAAAACAATAAACATCTCAAAATACATTTTTCAAAATTCAAAACATCACTGTAAAGCCACATTTGGCAACCACCACAGGTTCATGTGTGCTGCTGGTCTTTCTTGATACAGCTGATGGTGCTACATGTAAAAGTGCAGTAGGCCTTTATAAATATTAAATCAATTTCAAATCCCTACTATATCATCATATCAGCATCAAGGTGAAGTCACAGAGCGGTCCCACCAGTTGACCAGGGGAATAAAGGTCTTCAGTAAATGGAACCTTAGTGTGTCATTTATGTAGTTATTTTAATATTCCTGTCTTATTATACATGCTCAGACTGTTTTTTTCATTCCTTTATGTCCTACTTTTTGCCCTTAGGAGATTTCTAGAATAAATGCCATATATATTAATTCTGTTCAAATTATTCCCTGTCTAACAGCTCACCTCACAGCGTGCCCTTATTAGCCAAGGCAAATGAAACTATTGCTCTGAGCAGGGTATATCTGGGTTGCCTCAAGTCAACCCTTTCATGAAATCCGGTTATGGCTACAATGTTCTTTTTTTCCCTTAGAATATCAACGTATCTGAAGGAGAAGACGCTTAAATTCCATCATGATTTGCACAACAGAGATCTATAATAGCAGCAACATTTGAGCTATTTTTACAGTAGTGTGGTCTTGAAGTATTTGAGTTATAAGAAATAAACAGAACCTGTACATGAGGGAGCCAAATAGTAATAGCATAGGTGTTAATCCAAATGAAAACTGCAGTTTCATATTGGTCATAGCCTTGGCCACACATGAGTGACTGCATCTCATAGCATGCTTACATTGTGCTACAGTTCCACAGCAAGAGCACGAGAGTGGTAGAAATGAAGCAGCATATGCTGAGATTTTTTCCTGGGTCATGACTAACATGCACGCTGTCTGTCTGAGTTATCCTCAAATGTCACCAGAGTACACCAAACTCAAATGATGCATGCTAACACACATGAGCATGCTACTCACTTTGTTGGTTTAATGAGTGGACTGCTTCCTAAACGAAATGACGGCAGGTCTTCTGTGACTGTTCCCTTCCGGAGAAGAAACCTTTCCGTAAGATCAAATCCTGTGAACGGAATTACAATGTGTCACTAGATTGAAACAAGCCAATGCTGACTTATTCACAAAGCAGTTATATTCACAGCAAGCACATACCTGTGATTTCCAGGGGACGTTCTAAAATATCAGAAAACCTGTATTCCTCCACGCTCAGAGGGGGACATGAGCCATCTGGAAGAAAGCCACAAAAAAAGTTGGTTGTGCTGGGGATGCTACGGATGATCACCAGTGGACCAGTTTTGACTAGTACTACAAAAGAGCAAATGATAGATTGAATCATGAATTAATTTCCAGAGTACATTTCCTTTGTTTTAAAAACAAAACTTCTTTGGGAGAAATCAACATCAGAGCACAAAATCAATTCACAGTTTTTCCATTAATCTTTAAAACTTTAGTTTAAGGTAGATGTAATTTAGTGGCAAGCCCATATCTACTTTACTGGAAATGAAATGAAGACAGACTTTATGAATACTGATAGTGCCTGTGATATTTTTACAAGTCTACAGTTTTGGTTCAAAACTGTCACACACGCAGTCTTTTTCAAACATATAAAGTGGATTCCCCAAATAATGGCATTAGAAAAGGGTGATTTAGTTCTGCTTAGCTTAACACCTGTATATATTATCCTCTACTTATTGATTTGGGATGTAATTTAAAGTTTTAATACATTATTATCTAAAGATAAGAGCCTTTTAATCATAAAAGAATCATCACCAGTCTGTTTGTCTGTTCTTTACCTCAACATTAATGAGAGATCCTTCATTTTATAGATAAACTTGACAACAGAAAGACCATAACCACAAGCTCTTGTTTTTTATAATGACACTCAGCTGTTTGAAGACATATGTCACTGGACAACAAACACACATACCTGTTCGTTCACTCACTGCCATTCCAAAAGTGCAAGGAATGGTATTTACAGTCCAAAGGAAAGCAGTCCATCTTAACAGGCAAATCATGGCTATGATACTAGAAAGCAGCCCACTTGAAGACCTTGATGCAAACAGAATGGTTAAATTTACAATTCAGTTCACTTCAATCTTTGTTTTTGGCAAAAATGAAATAATGAATGAAACACATGCCTTACTCTAATCCTAATTAAATATTTTTCCTCATGCAAGGCAGAACTAATAGACAGAACTTAACAGCAGACACAAGCAAACAATGTGGCTCAACTGATTTTTATTATTCAGCTGGGTGCAACACCAACTTTGACTTAGTTGTATTTATTCATCTAGCATGGAAACAATCTGGTGTCCATGAGATTGCTAAGGAAACTTACAAGCTTTCCCTCCTTCATCTCTAGCTGAAATCATATTTCAGTGTTCAAGTTGTAGTATTGTAAAATAAAATTCTAACTGTGAATCACATCTGATTCTCCTATTTTACAGCCCCACTCATACGCCCATTCGCGTGTCCCTAAAGACTGTGTATTTATGTAAAGTCACTCAACCTGGAATGCACGTCTGAGTCCTTTATTCATGAGTTTTCATGAACACCTGCCACACACTGATTAATGGAGATGTCTATACTGCAGCTAAATCACCATACTCTAAGATATGTTTATATTAAAGTTTTGGTTACTAACTAGCGAGTCAAGCTGCCTCTTGTTCTACATAGACAGTTTGTAATACATTAGGTCTATATGTCATCAACACAAATTAGCAGTGGAATTGTGCCAATGCACTTCATTCGTTTGGAACACAACATGGGGAGATACTATGTTTGATGATGTTTTTATCATTATTTTACCTTATCTGCAACTTCATGCATAATGTCCTTTTAATATCCTATCGCTGGGTGTTAGTCTACTCTCTTTATTTATATTCCAAATTAAGTTTACAGTATGTGTCACATGGGGAGAGTAATTGTATGAGAAGGTTGTTGGCACCTCATGAATTGTTTTGTCTGGTTTTAGTCATAATGCCAAAGCCTTGATCTTTGTTTCTGTGGTACTCTATTAACACTCTGTTGTGTTTTGATCTGTAAACTGTCAGCAGCGTCTTGGTCAAGGACATATTGTGTAAGGATCAAACCTGGAAACCTCCAGTTACAAGTACTGTAGGTCTCTTCAGCCATTTGACCATGCTGCCAAACCAAATTGTCTGCATTACTATCATGACATTGCAAAGAAGGCAATCATTTTTTAGAGCAGCATGGTAAGAGTAGGCCAATGTTCCAAAATAAAAGTCAGCAAAGTACGATTTGTTTGAGCGCAGTAGTCCTACTCAAACAAAACACCATTGGTAAGTTCTGGATTACTCTCCCTACAGAATAGGTGCACTGCTAGAATAGTGATGATCATTTCACCCCCCCCCCCCCCCAAAGGATTTTCAAAAGACATGTTCACATTATCCAGGTGTGACACTGAATAAATTAATGTAAAATCCATAAGTGATTATTCTCTGAAAACAACAGGTTAAATCTCCACAGAAAGTGAAGTGGCAAATCATAACTCATATTGACTAACATGCCTTTACCTGTAATAGGCCTATAGTTTTGTAACAACACAGATGTAATCCCATACAAAGACTATAATCCTTCCTTCCTGGTCCACATTTATCGAATTCCACTTGGGAGAAACGACGGAAGACAGCGCTGAGTAATGAACTTGACCTCCACAGACCGTAATACAGCCGCAACACATTAAGTTAATTTATATGCACACTCACACAAAGTGTGACCAATTGTATTTTTCATGATACTCCACTTCTTTAACCAGCGCTGTTTTATCCAAATGAATTTTGCCCCACTGATTAATTCCCACCCGTGCTACAAGCACTTGTGCCTTCTCCCACTGGATCATAAAGTTTTGCATGCGGGCCTACAGTAGGCTATCATGGCGCTTGGAGATAAAGTGACCGTGCCACTTACAACTACAACCACGCATGGGCCGTAGACAAGTAGCACTACAGAGATATCACATTCCTTGTCGGTGTGAAGGCGTAATGTTATTCCAGTCATTTCTGCACATGCATACAATACACTGCAGCTCTAATGCCGAACCGTGCATTCACAATTATTCTACACCTTTTCGTGGCTGATTCTTATTAGTCTACTGACGAATCTGTAGGAGTTCAGCACTACTTTAAGACCACACGTTGTAGTTTGGTGTACAGCAACGCTGCTGCACCATCTGCTGTAAACCTGCATGGATTTCAATCCTAAGTGGACACAGTGAGTTAATTTTTGCAGGCTATTATCATACATATCTCGCAGTTTGAGAGAGAAAGCACAACGATAAACCTTGCACAGTGAAGTTACTCTATCTTGTCTCTCCATCATTCAGTAATCCACTTTCGGGCAACGGCAATAACTTCACTGTAGCACTTTGCAATATTCAAAGAAGCGTGTTTCTCTGCGCGACCGCTGATTGGCTGAGTGGTTTTTATTTTTTAATAATTACGGGATGAAGAGGCTGATATTCTTCCAGAGTCCGGCACATTTCGCACTTTGCTGTTATCAAGTGATGCAATACGGTACATGTTTACGGCTGCAGAGCGTTCATAAATCAGGAATAACCTGTTCATAAGGCATGTGTCCCGAACCAACAGACAGGAAAAATAAAACAATTAAATACCGAGCGATAACAGATGTAAAAGGTGTCCGTTATCGGGGGATTTTAAAAATGTTTACACGCTGATATTTACATTAAGCCGATTTTTTTTTAATTTACTGTGAAATTAATTTGGGCTATAAGTACTTACAGTTGTTGAGAAAGTTTCCTCTAAGGCAAAAACAAATAAAAAACAGCGAAACAAGCATAATCCATGTGTGATTACGATCAGTCTGATTCCGGATTCCAGGACTTGGAAATAAAAGTCACAGTGGGATCGCCTGCTAGATCGCGGTCCTTATTAGTTGCAACGAGTGGCCCTCCCACTCTGTCATTATTACTGAAATGCACTGACAGAGACTTCGCCAAACAAGAGGAACCCACTGAAAGCTTTCAAATCAGGGGAAATAAATGCCCAACGGGGCTACAAACAAACTCGCCTATTTAACTGACCCAGGTGCGGGAATTAAACACTGTTTGATGAATTATCATGGTATCACATTTTCTGAATAGAAGGCCTAATATTTGCTTGCCTTCAAGGTGGTTTATGTGTGTGTGTGTCTGTTGTTGGCAGTAAGAACTAAGTCAGGCTTAAAGTAAATATCGGAACAATCCAAAACGTTTTACTGTACACACACACATAATTCATCTTAATACAAGTCAGACAAAAATACAAGCTTACCTGTCTATTCATCACATCAATACCTATGGTTAAGCAGCAGAACAGGCTATTGATGACCTGACATAATAAAATGACAGCTATAAAGGCAGGCCTAGTGTTACAGCAACATACTCCATACTATTTTAGAAGATGAACATGCCATGTGGCAATACTGCTATATGGAGGGCAACAATTTTAACAATTACTATACTCTTTGTAAGCATTGTGCTGAGTCTTAGTGGTCTACTATATAGCCCGTTACTTCCTCCATGATTCAAAATCCACTGAGGAGTCTGCTCATGTTTCTATAGGCAAACTGGACATGAGCTATAGTCAGTTTCTATATATGGATATGTCAAATCCATATTGTAGAATTACTTTTAGAATTGAAGGTGTTTTTGGTTTTTTGGTGTGCTGTTTCAACCAAAGTTTTTTGGTTGAAACAGCACACCAACAGTTCAACACACCCGGTCCACAGAAACAGGTGTCGAGGCTCCACACACAAAACTGTTTAGACAGATGATTTCAAGGCACCCTCCTACACCACAGGGACACACACACAGACATACTTTTCAGTAGTTTGATGAAAGAAACAAAGAGAAAATGGTTTAAAGAACAACTGAAATTTTAAATGAAGCAGATGGCTATATTTCTTTGTTGAACATTGTACAAGCATAAGCATTTTTACTTTTGAGAGGTTGCATTATTTATCAGTCTTGTTGTAAGTCTTTGTTTTTGTTCTAAGTGCGGACAGAATTGCTTTAATTGTTGGCAGCTGATTAATTGCATGGCTTTCTCACTGTTAACATAAGAAAATTGCCATCATTACTGGATTTTACTGTTACTGGAATTCCATAATTTTCATTAAAAATACACTTTCCCTGAAAGTGGTTGTTATGGAAGTATTTTAATTGAATATAAACATCAGTTTTAGGCAAATTAACTGTCTTTTCAGCTGCAATGTTACCATTGTGACATTAATTCTCACTAGCTGATGCATCTATAACTCATAACTCATCTCATAACATGTATCAGCCCCAGTGTTCTAGGTCTGGTGGATTCATGTCCTCAGTATTGGTTCTCATTTTACTAGCAGTTCAGGAGTGCCTTATATGACGAACAATGGATCACCATAAAACAAAAAGGACCCTCTCCATCTGCAATCAGGTTATTTTACATTGAATAAAGTATTTCTTTAACCTGACATGCAGGGAGGGAATCTAATCTAATCTAAAACACAACACAACAGTGGAACAATTTCTTCTATACAAAAAATTTGGGAAACAAACATACAAAAAAGCGGTGGATAATGCCAGACCCTGGGAAATTAAAAAGAAACTATCCTGAATGGCTCAAAAAATGTGTTGTTTTTGTGTGATTTGGGATAACTGACCTTTAGGGTTAGGGCAAGAGTGGTTAAACTTATGAAAATGGTATGGTGCCTTGATGGCCCAGCATGCTGCTTCGTGCATTTAACAGCAACTTCACATATGCCTTTTAAAAAGTTCACAATTGAGTTTTAATCAAGTGGTCAAACTTGATTTCTACAGTAACTATAACTTCTACTTCTACTATTACAGTTAATACATCACATAAACTTATGTCTCTTTGCTGTCACTAAACACATAGTGTGTCAGCGCAAAACACGTGAAAAGCAACCCACCAGTTGCTGCATCAAGGTAAATGTTCGAAGCACATCTAACTCCAAAGTCCCAATAGTAGACCGGAAGCTCCAAAATACCCTGGATATTGTACTTTGAGAAATATTTGTTGAAACTAGTTATACAAGTCATTCATACAAAAACAATCGGGAAATTAAATTGTACTGATGTGAAAGGCAAGAGCAGTAACCCCACCTGGATTAGAACCCGGGTCTATATACAACACCAAAGAGCCCAGCTTGTTGGTAGGGCAGTCACAGCGCATACTCAACTGTAGTTGCCCCATTGCACTTCACGCATACAGGCGTCCGTCACAACTCCCGCCAATTGTACTTCTCCCATCTCAGGGTGCCCCCACCCACTAGTGCTTCACCCATCTCTGGGGTCCCTCACACACACACTGGGGGTCCCTTGTACGCATCACACACTGGGTACGCCTCTGACAATTTCACAGATTAGATTAGAACCCAGGTCTACAGGGTACCAAACATGCAACTTGACCGCAACGCCAAAGAGCCAGGCTTATTGGTATGGCAGTCACAGCGCATACTCAACCGTAGTGACGGTGGTCCGTCACATACTTTGATGTAAATGTTTAGCCTACCAATTATTGGCATGACTAGACATTACAAACCACCAGTCACAACTTGCTTCATTATTTTCGTTTGGAACATAGTGCTCTACTCACAGTTTTGTAAAAAGCCATGCTGTTGCTTGGTTGCTGCTCTCTGGGTAAAGACAGTGCGTGGGTGTTGTGAGCCAAACCTGTTTGAAAAAGAGTGAAGTTCTTTCATTTGTTAGCTTGAATTTAGGGTTGGTGCTCCCTTTGTATTAATCTTAAAATCCTCAATAAATCACAAGCTGTCAAATATTTTCAGAGTATTTCTTTGGCAGTTTTAGTGAGAAAATTGTTCAGTGAGGCGTGTGGATCATCCAGAGTAGTAACCGGGACATTGTTTTGAAAAGACACATTGCTGAAGATTTTTTTTTCATGCTGTGAACTCAATTTAAATTTTATTCACCTGAAAAAAAATACTTGTTGGAATAAGTAAGAAATGTAGGTCATCTCTTTGACCTCTAATACTGGACACTCATCTGTCATTGTTCTTTTACATTTTACAACACAAACGTTTGATTAATCATAATCCTAACCCTAAAGAAATACATGTTTGCAAATAATGCAAGCAACATATCCAACATTTACATGTAAGGATATGAGGTTCCTGTTTCTTAGATGCTGGAACACAGAAATATAAACTAAACCAGATGTTTGAGGAAATTAATTAATTCACCTTTTAATTGCAGATTTCCTGAAATCTTCTCTCAGGAAAGATGTATGCCTCCGGACTCTTCTACCGTTTCTGTGGAATTGCCCTTTCAAATACTATTTTCATGACATTTCAGCTTTAATAGACAGTTCACACTTCAGTGAAAAGTCAGATAACAAGGGAGACAAGGGATGTGGCAGGCAACAGAAGGTCATGCTGATTCTGACCCCAAGACATTAAATTTACATGTTTGGCGTCTTCCCGACGTGAAAAATATTCCAAGACATAATGCCAGAAATTGCCCTTTATGGAATTTTTTACCCCTGTCATTTAAAGTCTTTGCACTTAAAGCATTACATGTTTTATAAACCTAGGGTTAACTGCAGTTTGTGCCTTTATTGTTCTATATTTGAGAGTTTTGCATTGGTCATACCATTTGAGTCAGTTATTGTTTTACCCCATTTACCCTCTGACACCAATGTTTTGAAGACATTTGAGGATTCCCCTATCCAACGGGAATGAGGAGAATTGTGTCTGTTGCGAAAGTTTAAAAACAAGTTCTGTACTATCATCTCTAAACAGAAAACCTGTTGCATTCCTCCAGTGAATGCTTTTGTCTAAACATTCATGTGACTCACTCTGATAGCCTTGACCAGAGCCATGTTAAGAGGTGCTCTAACGTTACATGGGTCTGGCCTTGACTACTAGCTAAGTTAGCAACATGCTATGACTTAGTGTACACTAGTTAACTGATAACTCTGACTGTAACCTTAACTAAAGGGAATTGTGATGCCATTTTCAAACATTTTCTCCTGACTTTATGCCACTCAATTTAATGTTACAATATAGCTAGCTAAATATTTTTATAAAATTCATCTCCCATAAAAAAATACAACATCAATAGTTACGTGAGGTCAAACAATTGCAGAGGATTTAGGAGCAATCATTTTTCCAAAAACAGAGTTTTCCATCAAATAGCCTTCACCCTTCATACAGGGAAGCATATTCAGCAAGCAAATTAAGGCCGTCAGCAAAAAATTATGCTTACCTATGAACCCTACTTTCGCATTCCCTCGATTTATGGTATAAATCCTATCTCCAGGACAAAAATCTATTTTTTGGGGGCCCAAATCTCTTCATTGAAATTGATCCACTCACAAATTCACTCACTTATTCATGCTTAGCTTGTCTAACCCCTAGTGGCTGTTAGCATGAATAACATACATAAATAGCCAATACTGAACCAGAATTAGTAAATAACCTCCTTTCTGCATGATTTTTTGTTTTGGGTGCCTCTTTGACTCTGTTTTTCCAACAATAAAGTCAATGCAGTAGATATTCTTAGTCAGATTCTTGTGTGGAAAATAAATACAGCATGCTATACTGTATGTAGGTGAGATAATCCAGTACACACTATGTGGTCCTTTACATTTGCCCATCTGTCTTGTTTTATCTGCATCCTCTCACTATATGTTTAATAGCCTCTTGCCATGGATAAAGTGTCTTTTTATATTGTATTTTTCTTTTATATGCTTACCACTGTGAGCAGACAGAAGCTTAACAGAATGCTGCTGGGCTGCATTGTGGTGTTATTCTGAGCTGCTTTTAAGATCTTGTGATGGTAATGATTTGATATATGGGACACATTTACAGTATATTGATCTGCCTGGAACTGCTCTCAGTGATAGTATTCATGACCTGAACATAGGATAAAAAAATATATATATATACTTCTCGTTGATACAGTAGCTGTAGGATAAAGTACACTTTCAACTCCCCGAGTATCAGTGTGTCTTGTGTAATCTGTTTATGATTAGTTTTCAGAATTTGTACAAACAAATAATGCGATCAATTCACTTACAACACTGATAAGTGTTCAAGATAACGTGCCAAGCAGAAGCTGCAAACAAAGCATAAGGTTTCAGTGCACTGTGACCAATATCACTTTCCTGCACTTTGATGAATCTGTTGATCACAACATTAGCATTTGATCGTTAAATTGCAAACGGATCTAAAACCATATTGTGACAAACTAAATATCTTATTTGCTGTTGAATGCCTCCAGGATGTGAATTTATCTTTCATTGTGGTGCTTATGGTGTTTTATTATTCATTTGAATCGTGAATTTAAAATGTGCGGAGCAATTAATAAACAATGATAAACACCAATAATCATGTCAAGTGCTCCCACTCACATACATAATGAGAGGAAATATGTTCTTTAAACTAAACAACACAAAACAACAATTTACTGTTGAATAACTTTGTTCTTCTTAATGCAGTATAAGTGCCCTGTATCTCACAATGATCATATATAACAAATCCAGCACACATCCAGTTTCTGCATGTGTGTAGTATTGTATTTGTACTGGTAAGTAACCTCAGCAAACACAATTGTTTTGCTTGTTTGTATTTCCCCTGAATACAAACAGGCTAATAGGTGTATTCTGATTCTTCATCATTCAAGTCACCACCGTTGAAGGGGCTTAGAGGCAAAACACCTGCCCATTTTACAGGATCATTTACTAAATTGACATATGGCAAAGCACTAGACAAAGGCAGCATACTGTGTGTTGCTAATCTGTATGCAGACATAACCATTGATGTGTACCTTTCATGTGCTCATAAAAATCACAAAAGCCATTAAGGAGTCTCATTCATCATTTCTGAGAGCTCACCTGGGCATGAAAGCTTCCAGTATGTAGACCAAAAAAAAAAGAGAGAAAAAGAATTCAAAAGATACTGTAACATGTCAGTTTGGCCTGCAGCTACAGTTCTGTGGGGTATTCTTGAAATATGATCATATAATTGACCCATCTATTGAAAGCTAATGAAAGAAAATCAGTCAGTTGCAACCTCATTGGGATAGCTGTGTGAAAGTGGTTCTCTTTGATATCAGCTTGCTCATTCAGTGGTTTGGAACTAATTTAGAACATAAGGCACAAGTGCAGGCAGTGGGCATGATAATTTCAATTAAAGTTTTAAATCAAAAAATTACCAAGTCAAATTAAGGTAAAAGAAAAAACAACTTAATGCACTTCATATGTCTTATAATATACTTCAGAAATCATATCTATAGTCTATAATGGAAACACTACATCTCTATTACGACCTTCCGTTAATTAGATTTTTTTTACTTTTCTGACATCCTTATTACAGCAGTGGACTCAGGACATCATTTAAGTTGGCGATTATTTTCTCGAGTGATTGATTAATTGTTCTAACATAAGATAACCTTAATGAATACATTGTGAAAAATGTCCATCACAATTCACGGCCCAAAGGGATGTCATCAAGTTTCTTGTTTAATCTGACCAACAGTCCAAACCCCAAAGACATTCAATTAACTATTAATGTAAGATGAGAAAAGGCAGCAAATTCTCACATTTCATGCTTGAACACTGACTTGCACAATTAATTGATTATCATGACAGTTTTTGATTCATTTTCTATCAATTAATTGACAAGTCATTGCAGCTCTATACAGAACTTCAATCAAAAGTACAATATTTGGCCTTGGAAGACATTGTTGTTTTCTGTTATCATTATACAGTTAATTTCACCCACAGCATTTGTATAAACAATATTCTGCAGTGAATTTGTTCATGAATTTGTGCATTTTAATCTGTTGTCTGTACAAAAAAACCCTGCCTTTGCTTTTCAGTACATTGCATTGTGGGTGTTCTTCTGCAACCTGTTCTCAAGTGATGTTTACATGATATTTTACATAAATTTTCCTAAGATGGCCAACTTCCTAACATGCAAATGATACACACCCAAAGTTGATGTTCTTACCAAGGTTAAAGTAAGCTGATGCCACTGAGCATTACTAATATGATTTAGTTGAGGTTACAGTGCAGCTTTAGTCATGCTAAATTCTAAATTATATATATATATATATATATATATATATATATATATATATATATATATATATATATATATATATATATTCAGAAACTGACCCCACATCACCACGTCACACATCACCAGTGGTGGAATGTAAGGTACTGTGCTGAAGTACAGATTTCAGAAACTTGTACTGTTTGTACAACTATTTCCATTTTATGAAATTTATTCTTCTACTCTATTACATCTAAATATTGTACTTTCTACTCCATTAAATTTCTTTGACAGCTTTAGTTACTTTTTCAGATTACAATATCTCATACCCTTCCTGTCCAGAGAAATCCATGTATGTACAAGTTTGGTGGTTTTGAATTTAAATTTTTCTGATAATCTGAAAGAAGAAAGTGTTCTTTTATGGGTTGAGAAAATTCTCCTATTTCTTAAGCTAAATAAACTATATAACCCCCCTGGATCCCCTGGAAAATGCTTTATCATAAGGCATGAAAAGTTTACTTTTTAGAAATGTGTGGTTCTTCTAAAAAGGACAGTGACACTACAAACATATGATGGTCTTACTAAATATGATACATTGCAGTAGAATAAACTACCTAACCATATATAAAGTAGTTAAAATATGCCCAACCTTAAACATCTACAGCAGTAAAATGCATCATACACATTAATGCAGCAAGAATATTAATCACAAAACATCATATAATAGTTCAACACTGACAGGCAGCATTTTATTGCAGAATGAGTACTTAATTTTGATACTTTAAGAAAATGTCGCTGATAATACTTACATACTTTTACTTACTGCAAGTAAGGTTTTGAAAGCAGGACTTTCATGTGTAGTGGAGTGTTTTTAGAGTGTGGTATTACTATTTTAATTAAGTAAAGGTTCTGAATACTTCTTCCACCACTGCACATCACATTGAGAACACCACCCATCCCACATCCAACCAAAATCCCTGTACTTTATCATTGTCTAATCTATTTAAGTCACGTGAGCTCTATTTTTTTAAATCTATTTTCTCATCCAATCAGTGGGAGAAGGCGACATTAAATGGTGACACGGCATGGCATTTTAGTTTTAAGAATTAAAGGACAAATTTGATAGCAGTGCAAACGCTTCAGGGCCACAGCTATTGGAAATATTTGGAACTATTCCTGCAGCCTCTCTTGTGCTCTTCATTTGGGGTGAGGAAGCGGGTTTGGTTGTCTGGAAAAAAACAAGAAGAGTGGATGAGAGGATGTGATACAATGATGCGACAGAACTACCATACTCTAGAGAAAACATAAGTAACAGTAGTTTTATGATCTGCTCACTGTATGAACATCTGCAGCTGACGAGTATTGCTATGAAATTCAAAAGAAGGAAACCCCCTTCCTTGATTGACAAAAATCTAGACAATTTCCTACCTTTTTCTCAGCAAGCCCCTTTTAATAGACTCGGGTACATGGTGTCCATTAGGGCATGCTGCCAAGCTGCACAATAAAGGCATTTGCAGTTTTGAAAGGTTGCATGAATTAAGAAGACCTTCTCTGAGCAAGTGAATAATGGGTTGTGAACAAATTACATTAGTTTAATTAAAAATGTTAAAGTCAGGCGCATAAATGAAGTTTAGATATATGGTTATTGATTTTAGTGAGTTGAATTTGAAAGTTTCCAAACCAATAGTGACCAGCTAATTAACTGGTAAGAATGTTCTTCATTCCAATTAGTAATAGACTAATTTCCCCCACAACTAATATAGAAAAGTGTTGTTTTCACTTTCAGAAACTTTAGAGCCTCAATGTCACTGCGGACTGTTATAGTCTACTCCTTGCAAAAGTAATTACTCAAGTAATAATTTAATTTTGTCTCCGTAATTCCAGACATGGTGAGCATGACTGCACACTCTTAGACTGTTGTAATTTAAGGGACAATATACTCCATAAAAGGAGTAGACTTTTAACACCGACACTACGCACTCAAAACTGTGGAAACTGATGGAAGGAAAATATAGAAAATTCTTCTTCATATTGTGATACCACTGGGTCTGAATGCAAGATAAATTAGATAAGAAGTGAAAGAAATGGGAAGTGTCCCTGACACACGGGAGGCAAGCCAACTCTTACTCTTCACATGGAGCCTGGAAAAATTTATATAATCCCATTGCTGCACAAGTTTGGAACCCCTGCTGAATGAAACAGAAGCTGATAGAGACAGAAAAAATAACTTTTACCATTAACATTTAAGAAACCAAAGCCAAGAAAGATGATGATGAAAACAAATTTAATGTGTAGAAAGCAGATGCTCTTCATCTGAGCCAGTCAAACAGCTGTACTAATATGGGATTTTGCATTTGGCTCATTAACAATGTGAATTTTACTACAAATACAGTGGCTGTTTGCTGGTGTGGACTACTGCAGTGGATAAATGATAGCAAGTATTATCCCAATGATCTGCTTTGCACAAGGGAATGCAGCTACAGGTGCAGTGCACCCTAATTTCCAGTGACCTACTTCTACTTTTTCAGCAAATTTCAATGAACCAGATTAGTTTTCCAAATATACTGGAGGTTGAAAATGCACCAACTTTGTACCAATACTACTGTGTATAATTCTGTACTTTGTAGACTATTGTGTGTGACAGAGATGCTACAGTAGATTTTAGAATAGCATACAGAAAAAAAGGGGGAGGCAGGGGCATGAAGAGGCTGAGACATATAAAAGGAAACAGTGGAAATCATATCATCATATTTCATAAATGCATTTAAATGGTGGTCCAAATGTCTCCTCGGTCAACTCAAGTGCCTCATATCTGTGTCTAATGGATAGTCCAATTGCCCCAGAAGGGCCCCTCTAGCTAGAAGAATCTGAATTCATCACTGATGGTATTTTTTACTACAAAACTTCGAGGGTAGCTGTCCTTGAATTTCATGTTGTCTTATGTGATAAGCTATATAGTGCCTTACTGTTTGTATCTGCTTCTTCTCCTTCTGGTAGACTCCACTATGTTACAGTGCTAATGTCGCCTCTCTGTACATTTCTGTCCAGTCCCTCCACCGGTGATGCGGTTAAATTCTACAGTTCTCATATGGACTTATCAGCAGCCACTTTCTTTAGAGACGTCAAGGCTGCTGCTCGCCCTCCACTTTGGTGACGTCAACGGGAGCACGTGGGTTTGTTATTGCAGGAAGTGAAGATGGCGGAACAGTCGTTGCTCTCCGAGTCTCTGCTCGGATGGTCTATTTTCACATTTATACTTTTGGTAAGCAAGTGTGAAGTTGTCTAGTGGCTCCATTAAGTAGTGGAGTGTTATACTATTAATTTCAGATGTTTTAGCAGGTGAAAATGTTGCTTAATTAAGTGTTACCCGGTGGTAACGTTGAAGTCAATACTGGCTTTGGGTTGGTGTTAGCTTACATTAGCAATGGCACGCTAACATGCTGTTTTGTAGGAAGCGCTCAGCGTAGCACTAGTATACCTTATATTTTCTACTATTAGAAACACTGAACGTGTAAAACACCACCACGTCGAAAACAGGGGGTGGGTATTCGTACTTTACTAACGTTGTACAGAACATTAAATTACGTACTGTTAACTTACCGAGTTAACGTTCCCCACAAGGTTTTAAAATGCACTTTACTTCTTTAATGTGCTTTTCACAATGGTATGTAACCTTTCCTTTCCTGTGTTAGTCATATTTTAGCTCGTATTTATAGGCTATGGCTTCAGTAGAACTTGAAGAAATGCCTAGAGTCATTTGGTCAGCTAGGTAATCTGCTGCCCAATTTAGCACTCATTATCTCAGCTGCCATATATAGAGTCACGTGGCTAAATCAGAAGCCGCCCAGAAGAATGCGTGGATGTCAATAAATTGCTCTGTTTCCTCACCCACCACTAGCAGCCCCTTATTTGCACAAACCATTCAATGGACCTTATTTGGATGCACAGCCCGCGTCCTTACCTGGCAAAACAAGCAGCCAGAGGCTTAAGGCTGCGGGCCTTTAATTGATCCTGTCTGTGAATAGCAGCCCTTGATCTGAAGGGACTAGTTTTAGCAGTGTCCTCACTTCTTACAGCTTGTGTGTCTGGAATATGACCTTGTCATTTGGAACCCCTTTTTTGCTACTCTGTCTAATGAGTTTTCTGCCTGTTACAATAACAGTCCCTCTCCCTCTTTTGTCTTTTTTCATGTTTAACAGCAGCAGAATAAATTAGCCAATCCAGGAGTTAATTCAAAAATGGATGTACATAATTAAATTCTGCTAATTATAAAAAGTAAACTTTGTTTCATTTCCTTGCTTATTGAGTCTGTATTCACTCACATGCTGAAAGAGGATAAGGGGAGGGAGTATGATATAATCAGATCAGCTGTTCCACAACAGCACCTGCAGTGAGGCAGTTTTCAGGTTATAATTCCCTACATGTTGGTTTAACACTTAGGTTTGAGTATTTCTTTTTGGCAATCAGCAATACACACACTGGAGCTAGAGTTTCCTCGCAGTGTTGCTCAGGCACAGGAGGACGCATTAGTGTGAACACATTATGAAGTTTAACAAAATACAGCACTGCAACACTGGTGAATGTAAGCTACACAAAGGTACAATTTGTTGCAGAGTATTATATTAGATTGCATTATGTTATACTTTTGTTTCAACCCCTGTGTGTGTCTGCATTCATTATTTCATTAATGCATTAATTATGTCATTATTTCCTTCTTTTTAATTGTATTAACCCAAGATGGATGTTTTTGGCTGTAAATTTGATAGCTCTCTCTAGGCCTCGCTCTCTCTTTTTTGCTAATCATATTCCTCATCAAATTTTTACTATTCCTCATGATGTTATTATTCTCCACTTGTAACTGATTGATTAAATGTTTATTTCCCCTTGTTTAGGTAATCCTGGCTTTCTGTTGGGTCTACATTCGGAAATTTCAAAGTCGTCAGGAGAGTGAAGTTGTTTCAACTATCACAGCAATATGTGCACTTGCCATTGCTTTGATAACGTCTGCACTTCTTCCAGTGGATATATTCCTTGTTTCGTTCATGAAGTATCCCAATGGTACCTATAAGGTTAGTATCTGTTCTGCTAGCAGTGCCAGTAAAATCAATTTGAGAAATGCTAATGACTTTTCCTGAGGCAGCTTTTAACTTTGCTTTGTAATTTTCCTAGAATTAGACAGTGGACAATATGGACATTGTTTTTGTCCTGTCTAAAAGCTGAATGCATTTCTTGCCTCATAAATTTTGTTGCCAATTCATTGCATTTGTTTCTATCTATTTGAAGATGAAGCAAAGTGTGTAATGATATCATTATTTGAACAGCAGGTAATTTTAATCCCTCACTCACTTAATCAAACATGATTTCTTGGTGATAAGAAATTACAAATAAGCAAAAAGGCATGAAAGCAAGTGGAGGCTTTTTTGCTGAAATTTGACAAGTATAAAAGGATCATTTGAGCATGAGCCAGAGCAGTGAGAGTCATGACTCTGCAAAAACTGACAGAAATGACACAAACATTTTTCTTTAGGATGTTGCTCTTCAAAACAATATCTTGTTTTCAATCTTTTTGCAGCATTTCACTTTTTCTTCCAATTGGAGAATTCATTCACAAGTAAAATGCAGGAAATGCAAAGTTATTTCCCACCACACCTGTGCCATGCATGAATAAAAATAGATTTAGATTTATTTTTCAAAATTTTACACTGATTATTGTTTTTTTAATTAGCTTTAATCTAATTAATGCCTTTTCTCGTTGATTGTTAGACTTGTGTCATTCCTAGGGATGCACTGAAATGAAAATTCTTGGCCAAAGATGAAACCGAATTTAATGAAAAAATTTGCCGAACACCGAACAAGTACATTCGCACTTTTTCCATTTATTTTTCCTTTTTTTTTACCATTGCATAAATTAAATAGTCAAAATGGACTTTTTACTCAGTGTTTCGCACAGGATTTGGAGAGACTATGGTGGGTGGGTCCGAGGCCCTATGGGGTCTGGTAAAGTAAATTACATTACTTTCATGTACACATGTAATATGTGTGCACTCCAAATTTAGGTGCGCTAGTTTAATCGCCTTCTCAGAAACAAGTGACAGACCATGTTTTTGCCTTTTCTCAGAAGTCAGCCACAGATGGAGTGGATTTGCTAGGAGACAATTCAACAGAACAGTGTCTGCAAACAGTAATTTTTGCGTCTTTCTCGGACACTTTAAAATGCTTCCACACTGCCGACATCTCATCGTACTTGTTCTGTAAAATTTATTCGGTCTTTTGACGTATTATGCTGAACAACGGAAGTGCTTTTTTTGCTATTTTCGGCCAATTAATTTCGGTGGCCGAACATTCAGTGCATTCTTAGTCATTCCCTTTACTGTTGAACTTATTTCTAATATTCACCATTGACTCTTCCTTTGCTAACATCCAGGAATGGGCAGCAAACAATGAGACGAGAGGCCAAATTGAAGACACTGTGCTGTATGGATATTACAGTAAGCGCATTCTCTTAATACCTGTCTATGTGGGTGCTCATGGAAAATGTGTTTATTGCGTTGAGCTGTTTTGTGATCAATCAGTGTGCTTTGGCAGACTATTCTATGATAGCAACACTATCTCTTCTTTCAATTCATGGTAATGCCAGTTCAATGTTTTATTTTATTTTGCCAGTTCAATTTAATAATACCTGGGGCCAGACTCACCCACACAGTCAATCTTAGTGGGTTAGTAGTCACTGGCTCCTTGTTTTGGTGACTCATTTTCACACAGGGTATCTCGATAGTAACTTTCACTGCAAGTACGTTCAGGCTTTCCCTGTAAGATATATATTAAAAGCCCATACAATGTCTCACTGATCCTAGAGCATTCTATAGGCCTTTGAAAAATAAATAAATGTTATTCACAAAACCTGATATAAACAAGAACATGGCATTAAACGAATTAAGACTAATTATAGAATGTACTCTAGTACTGTTGAAATAATAGGTAGTAAAAAGCCAGGGTAATGCTAATGGACTAGCAGAACAGTTTGTTTTCCATGATGATGCAATACATCAGAGATATCAAACATTTACAGTGTTTCCTTTCAAAATGTCCACTATGACCATTATAATGAATGCAATCTCTCAAATAACTATAGCTGTCAAGATTAAATAAAATGTACTGCTTCATATTAAGCATAAAAAGTTGGTTGTGTAGTAGATGGCGCACATTCAGTATTCCTATAAATATGTTACTGGTGAATTGCTTTCATGGCCTTTACATGAAGACACATTATCAATGAAAACTTACACACTGTGTGTTAATGATGTCAGTGATGATCATATTCACTCATGTCTTCACACTATTTGCACTTTATCATATGCATTTCTTGTAGACTCTTCCTTGTTAACCTTTTGCTATTATAGGCTAGTATTTTCATTATTGGTCAAATAAACATCTTAATAATTCAAATGTTTAATTTCTCTCTTGGTTTATATAACTTTTTTCCATAATGTAAAATTTTGCATTGTGTATGATGATCCATTTGGATAATGCCAATTTGGGTTTGTATTTATAATATATTTTCTTTGCTGGACCCTACTATGTTACAGCAATAGCTTAATTTCCCCGTGGTTACCAATAGTTTCGTCATACATTATGCTGCTTTGCATGTATTAATGTTACATGTGACTGGCTACAAGTTCTTTCTTGGATAACAATGTTTGTAAAACTGGTTAGATTACCACAGCGGCTGTGAAAATATTCTGACTGTTGTGAGTTCATTGTAGGTGAATATTTTGGTGTTGTCAGTGATGAGAACTAATTGAAAGAGTAGTCACTTTCATTATTGATGCATTATGATTGGCAGCAGCTGTGAGTCGGGTTAGATTTCCTCCGTACGTTTTGTTATTTTTTATAACCTGTAGTAAGGCAAGTATAATCAGGATTTTTTTTCATATAGTGTGTTTAAAGACCTTTAAAATAATAATAAAAAACACAAAAGAAGAAGAAACAATAACATAGTTGAGAACATGAGTCGAACAAGCAATCCTTGGAATTTGAGTCATTTACTCTACCAATGACACTAAAACTTTTACTGAAATTATCTTAAAGAAATGCACCTACCTGGTTTGTTATCTCAAGATCACGAGAAAATGATCCTGTTATCACGGGAAAACAGTTAAAAAATATTTGAATGGATGGTTGCGTAGGGCTTCGTGTGTGTGTGTGTGTGTGTGTGTGTGTGTGTGTGTGTGTGTGTGTGTGTCGTGTGATCAGCAACAAATGTGACGTGAAAACACAGCAAACTGCTGATTTGGTCAGAGAGAATCGACACTATTCACTGAAGCGAGAAATCAACTGTGTAGATTTCGAAAATTGCCAGTGTTATGAAAATTGATGGCGAATTGAAAATGTGCTTAAACGTTCTCGGAGTTGAGGCGCTCCGCAAGTGGCAACGGGGGGAAGCTCGCGCCACCCGTGTCCATGAATAAGTTACTCTTTTAATTGCCTTTATTTTCTCTTCAAAATAAGTCCTGAATGGCAGAACTGATGATTTGGTTACACCTTTTGCAATCGTGTCAGGGCTTGTGTTCCTTGCCCTATTTGACTTGGTCCAACCAAACTACAACAACAAAAACAAAACACTGTGTACTTAACCAAGTAATGTAATTATTTCTGCAGAAATCCAGCTACAGTTTTAGTTTCTAGGTACAACTGTTCTTGTACTTTCACAAAGCCTGTTCATCAAACTGTTCATTTTTGCTTTGTAGCATATTGTGTTGTATCATTAGTAGGTTTGGTCAGCATTCAGTCAGACATCTTGGACTCATCCTTTTCTTGCTATGAGAGAGGAAAGGTCCAGTCCCCATGGATCGCTCCATATTCAAGTATTTTTGCGTGGTTACAATTCATGGGAACAGTATCCAGGCTGTTTGGCTGATAAATTAGTGCTACAGAATTTTTGTCATGATTGTCATATTAAGGGATAACACGAGTTTGTTGTTTTTGACGATAGCAAATTCAGTCATGCCAAACACTCTAGATCACACGTTTTCTAACAGATGCTGGCTTAAAGTGCCTGTCAGCAACACTGTTATGTACCGTCTGTTCAGAAATGCCAAATGCAAGGAAGACAAGCTGTCTCCTTGCCCAGACAGCCCAATCAAAGAAACCACCCCATTGGTATGATGACATCAGAAAATAGTCTTTCACAGACCTTGAACACATCACGTGAATCCAGCATTCAAGGGGCCATAGTATATTGTCCTCTGGACACACAAATATGATTTCATACACATGATTGATTTTCTCTGTTACTATCTATAGTTCGGATTAGATGTCTCCTTTAAATGTAAAATTTGCTTTAGAGAGAAATGAATAATTCTGTAGGCGTAGTCTTGAATGTATGGCAGTGTCTCGTCAGTAATTTAATTCAATGGCCAAACTGCCTGGAAACCATGTTCATGGTGCAGTTACACTCAAGAAATTTGTCACGTCAAAGGGAAAGCATATATAGTTTAAAAATTGATTTAGTAAGTTTATATCTCTGTCTAGTTAGAAAGAGTTAGAGTGCATTTTAAATCAAAATCTCTATTATTGTTTTGAGTGGCTGCTACAGTTGCTGTTCATCATGCAGCACTTCATATTGTAGCACTTACACTTTAGTCTTACTCCACATACATGCTTTAATTTTACATTATGAGTTAAGTAGACATTATAATCTAAATATAGTTTGTTCATGCCATTCACAACGAAAGGAAGACATGTTTCTTTCATAAACATTTTCTTATCCAGCTTAAAAATTTTGTTTTTTGAGCTAGGCGACGAGTAAGAGAGGAGCTTGAAAGAGTTTGGTACTTGCCTTCGGGCATGTCTACATGTGATCATAGCTCTGGGAGTTTGTGGTGCAGAATGATCTGCTTACACATTTGTTGTGGTCTTGTAACCTTTGGCTGTTGATAAGGAAGGCAGAGTGCTTGTAAAATCGCCTGAAATACAAAAAATTGAGCCTTGCAGTTTTGATTGATAGTGTGCTTAGTACCTCAGAGCATATTTTTGGACTAAAGTTATAGTGCTTTTTAAATATTGCAAATGCATTCCAAGCTTAGAGGTGTCATCATTTAAGATATGACACCTTCTTTTTGTAACAATGTATGTGTTGTAGTAGCTAATATATTGTATTATTAAAGATTGTCTACTGATATTGATTGGTTGCTTAGGCTGTTTAAAGTTAAATACTTTAATGGAATCATATTTTTCAGAAAGTGCTTTACAATAGATTTTTTTCTGTCAAATGAGATTCATGATGCACGTCTATGTGACTGTATGTCTCTGCAGTGAATAGATGTTTATGAAGATGACAGTATAAGAGTCCAGTGTGCTGAGGCTAAGTATCCAGTCATAGGCTAAATATGAAAATATGATTAATCTAATTTTGGCTGCATTACTACTACTATTTAACTGTCCTGTTGTCGTTGTTTATGTAGAACCAGTGACTCTTTCCTCTATTCTTTGAGGGACATTACTTTTGTATTTGCCAGTAGGTGGAGACCAAGCTCCATGTGTGTTGTATGCACAGTGTCCTTACAAATCTAACCTTTCAAAGTAGAATTTTCTTTAAGGCCATATTTGACAGAACTGTCCGTTTGTCTTTTCACACCTGGAATAATTGCAGGGTTGATGCAGAGATGTCCTATTACCTCCAATGGGGTATGTTGATTTGTATTCAGTGGTGATCACAGCTAATAAGTATGTGTATGTCCAGTGAATTACAAGAACTCCCTGCGCTATTTAATTGATGTGTGAAATCATTTGATGGCCATGTCATTTGGTGAATTGCACCCAGTTGCTAGTTCTAAAATATGTACATTTTCTTCTGGACAGTGTTTTATTAAACCTGTAGTGAACAACTTTTCTGCAGCAATTTTGAATCCACTTTTCTGCTTTACAAGCACAGTATTGTTGTAGTGTGGACATTATAATATAGCACAATTTCATTATCATTTTAATGGATTTGTTGCTGTTTAACCAACATTTAATTTAACTAAACATTTAACTAATTTCTAAATGGTCCACACAATTCTGCAGGGGGTGGATGACATTTTGATATTGGTTATTTTGCTCCCTTTTCTTCATTGAACTGCATGTATGTTCATGTTAATGCACTTTTGTCAGTGGTGTTAAATTTCACTGTTCCTCAGACTCTTTGGGCGTATGATGGCTACAGCACATATTAAAAGTAACATCATAAGTAGGTCAAGTAAATACATTTTAGTTATGTTACATCTTAAACAGATAAAAGCATGCATTTAGCAAAACCCTGGACAGCAGTGATGAAGAGATAATGGCTAGGCCAAATCAGAATGCAACTGTAATGCAAAAAAAAAGAAAATATGAAAAAAGTAAATATTCTGTCAAAGTGAAATATTTCTAAACCTTGCAGATATTTACAAATTCTACACAGTGTAATATTGGATCAAATGTACCTTCAACATGACACAGTGGATGGATG